TCTTGCAAAGCGCCGAACTTGCGTTCTTGTGACTCTTGCAAAGCGCTAATTAGTTCAATTAAACTTCCTAATTGAAGAGCCATTTCAGGGGCTGCAGAAGTTATGGTGCCGCTGGTGGGCGTGGCAAGGTGGGCGGGGCCAGTGGGCGTGGCCCGGTGGGTGGAGTCAGTGGGCGGTGCTTGCGCCAAAGGGGGCGGGGCCTGTGTCCGAGTGGGCGGGGCCTGAGCTTGAGTGGGTGGGCTTGTGTCTGAATGGGCGGAGTCTGAGGGGCGTGGTCAGTGGGCGTGGCCTGGTCGGTGGGGCCAGTGGGCGGAGCCTGTCCCGCAGTGGCCGGGGCTTGGTCCCCAGTGGGTGTGGCCTCCGCAGCTCGTGCCCTTGTCCTGACAACCACCTTGAAGTCCTCTCTCGGAGTCAATGGCATCTCCAAATCCCACTTCTGAAACCAGTTGTTACGTGTTAGGGGTTCGAAGGATTTGGAGAGAAAGACCGGCTGACTCTTTTGAAGACTTTATTTACTAGCGCTAGGTCCAACACAAAGCACTAGGTCCAATCACTAAGCACTAACGATGTCCTAGATTGTAGCCAAGTCGTAGGTTTCACTGGTATCGCTCTTGATCACTAGTTTTCACTCCGAAGTCGCCTCGAAGGTAGCTCAAACTGAACTGAACTGTCATCGCTCGCCTCCCTGCGGCTTTTTATATGGGCCGAGATCGGTTCCGGACTAATCCAGAAAGATCATTCCTGGAACGTACCCGACACGCACGAACATGTTCGTGATTCCGGAAAGTTCGCGAATGTACCCGGTTTTCGAGACTATAGTTCCACAGCAGTTGCTCTAACGCCATCTAGTGTTGAATAGGGGGTTTTATGTCGTCTTTGTTCTTTAGTGGTTTTAATAGTTGACGTTAGATGGCGTTAGTTCCTTTGTGTGTTCATAACAATATAAATAGGTTATAATATAAATAGGGGTTCCTAGCGCTATAAGGCTTTTTAAGGAAATAGCAAAAAGGTTAGTCGACAACACAGGAGGCCGAAGAGCTGGCAGCTCAGAAAAAGAATAATTCTAGTTCTTCAAAGGGGGAACGCTGCCAGTATATTTATTTGTTATTATATTATTTATTTTTTATGTTTTTAGTTTTAGGTTCTTTGTTCTAGTATATATTTTGTATTAGTTTATCATTTGATTGTTATTAAAGTTAGCTTATACTGGCTATAAGCTAACTTTTATGCTAACTTTGTTATATTAATGAACTTTTTTTGTTGTAATATGGGCAAAACCGTCTTTAATATAACAAAAATGTTATAAACTAGCTTAAATGACATTTACATTAAAGCATGTTAGTTTCCATCCGTGACGCTCGGTAAAGCTACATATAGCTCCGAAATTTGACAGTAATTATTTCACGCTAAAATCCGAACAATAAATTTACCCGAATTTTTAACTTAATTAAACGTTTGCTTGCTAAGCGGCCGATGACTCCGCCGCGAAATCAGAACACGTAGGTTCGAATCCCGGAGCACCAAAAGTTTTTGTTCATTTATCCACAATAATAATAATTTAAATTTTCATCTTGAGTGCAGAGACTGGCGCTAAAAATTAAATTTAATATTAATTAAACGTTAAAAAAGATATCGAAGGACGTCTTTTCTTTTTTCCCATCGGGGTGAAGCTTGAAGTGATCTTCGAGGTCTCTTAAGAGCTGACCGTTTCGAGTCTGTATTTGATCTCGTCATTGAACCTCTCTCGTCTTTGACGGTAAACTGGGTCGCAAAAATTCTTAAGGTCATTTATGAATTTCTTATTTTGAACATAGAAGATTCTTCGCTGTTTTCTTATTTTGAAGTATTCTTTGCTGTCCGCTCTTTTAAAATGAAACTATCTTACACGTCACTAACATCTACGCAAAATTAAATGGCAGCCATTGCTTTTCACTTAACATAAGTTAAGTACAGTTAACAGTCTGCTCTTTTGCCAGTCTATCACATAAAAATTAATAAAATAATAAGAAATGATTAGTCGGTCTATATAAATCTCTAAAATTTTTCGAGGATTTGCCTATTAAACACACGTATTTTAAATAACAATATAAGTTAAGCTGTATGTACGTAAGAGGTTCTTAATAATCTATTTTATTATTTCGTGAACAGTTAGTCCTAATTTTCAAGCCCAGTGATTCAGCAGTGTAAGAATGTATAACTACCCTAACTCTGAAATCGTTAACCTCAGTTAATACAAGAAGTATTAACTGAGGTTAACGATTTCAGTCCCGAGACTATTTAAGCTTCATCGAACGCAGAACCGTTGGGCTAGCCAGAACCCACCACACCCCGGTTTGAGGCCCTCCACAATTGGTAGGCTCATGCGTGCGTACCCGAGCTAAGTTGAAGTGAAGAGTCGTGTCGTGATTTTTCAGAAATCAAACCTAACTTTTAGAAATTCTCTTCGAAATGATAATAATATACACAGTTTAATTAATGTCGACTGTCCTATAGGATTATCATATTACGCCAGAAATATTATTACATTCTTTTTATTAGGTGCGTTTTTACTTACAGCCGTACTCACAGTAGTCCATAACTTCTTGTTTTGTGGTGACTTATTAATTAGTTTAAGTATGAATTGGCCCTTATTTTTTACTTTTGTTATTTGATAGACCATTTGTAACGGTATATATTGCCAATACATAAATAGAATAGCCACAGACGGATTATACCCGTGAAAGAGAAGTTCTGCGATAGAGTGTGCGTGTTTCATGTGAACGCAATAAAGGACCGGCCTATTCCTAGACAGCCAGACTATTTGGTCGTTACAGTAGACGGAATTTATTACGCTAGCGGCGGGGACACAGCGATATAACTTTACCTTACACGAAACGCTCTTACGTAAGCTTCTGTAACTTTACGGCTGTTCGCTTATTTCTATAATTCAAACTGCGTACGGCCTGTACACTTGATAATGAATATTTATGGGATTTATATTAATTTAGGGTTCTTTGAAACATTAACCAGGTATAGGATATGTATGTTAGCAGTACCACTTACTATATACGTATACGTACAGTATAGCCCGTACTACGTATAGCCCGCATTTTAATTTATATATTATTTTTTTATTATAAAAATACATAAGAGGGAAACCGATTGATTTAATAGGATGTGTCCATACATGTGTTGTATAATAATATCGAAGATGGCGATGCATTATAACTTAGAAGTACAAATTTGCTATTTTTGTTTTTTTTTGTTGCTAAAAGTCATTAAATCATTCAGTAATATATTAAGCACCGGTTATTTCATCAGTTATGATTAATTCATCACTTAAACAGAGGAATTTTGTAGCAATGCCTTATTTGAACCGTAATATTACCGATTAAGTAAAAGGTCCTATATATTTTAGAAAGGTCATAGGACACAAGCAATATGACGAAATATATCATGTCAGTCAGCACTTTTTGTTACAGTGGCATGAATAAACATGTAACGTATCGCGGCTTTCCAACAATACAAAAATTTAAATCAACTCAATTTTCCAAGTTGTAATATTTTATAATTTAGAGATAATTAATAGGTCGACATATCTGACTATCGCACTACAATCGCAAAATAAGTATGTCAGCTTGTTTCGCTTTTCTTCCGATTTTAAAAATAAATGTTCCACATTAGAACTAACAAACAATAAGTTACTTACGCGTGAGTATCTCTCATTAGTGAAAAAATTCTTGGAATTGATTCCATGATTCTATAAATAAATGAAAAAAAAATTTACTTGAACGTGTCACTTCTAAAATTACTATAAATGTATACTATATCTTAATATTATAACTTTACATACTAAAGAATGTAAAGTTATAACATTAAGATTCACGGATTTTCATGTGTAATCTTATAGGTGTGCATAAGTGACAAGTTAGCATCTAAATATTCAACCTCCATGATTTAACTTTGCATTTATCGGTACTGGAATAACTAAGGGATAATACCCAAGGTTAGGGAATTTCAGTGGCGGTACACCACAGTTATTCCGTAAGGACGCATAAAATGGGGGAGAGATAATTTGTTTCGGAGCTGCAATTTAGTCGGAAGTTTTATTTGTTGAAAGAAACAAGATTAATTTTATTTAATGTAACGTTTAAAAATGTTTTATGCAAACCTTCTCTTCCTTCTTGAATTATAAGTGAATTTCAACCGCCATTTTATAATTTAAAACTAGGCAATAGCAGATGTTTAACTGTGTTAGATGATACCATTTTGTTTTTAGTTCTTTTCTTAAACGGCGAAAAGTAATGTAAAAAAATAAACTAAATTTTAAACTGAGTATTTTGAAATACGTCAATATATTTTCAAAGTCTACAGAAGAAAGAAAACGGCTTCCGTTTTAAGTCCTACTTCTAGGTTAAATTATTATTAATATAAATGTTTCTTAAGTTTTATTTATATTTTCCTAGTGTAAACTAATTTACGATTTTACGGTGTTTGCTGGTCATAGACATTAAACATGCATGAAAAACTAAACATAAAAAAATCATTCGCACTCGGGTATTGTCCATAGTCCACAAAATTGAAATAATAAAATTTAATGTATCTCTTACACTTTTTTCACACACAACTTGGCAAAGTAAACACATTAATTATGATAAGTCGTCTGTACATTCAATTAAAAGTAATGACGTCAGTAATTTTATGTAACAAATGTTATTCAAGAAACGCACGCAAGTGTGTATTCGAAATATCGCTACATAGTATAAAACAAAGTCGCTTACATAGTCGTATGCTTAGGTCCTTAAAACTACGCAACTTGATGCGGTTTTTTTACTTAATAGAGTGATTCAAGAGGAAGGTTTATATGTATAATACATTGTACCCGTGCGAAGCCGGGGCGGGTCGTTAGTTTTATATATGTAGTAACACACACACAATTAAAGATGATAATTGGATAGGTTTTCAACAACTGTATGCTATTGTAAAGCCTAAACGGATTGACATAAAGTTCACTTTCGCAGGCGGACGCCAGCACTGCGTTCCTGCGTGCTGCACGCGCGGGGCAAATTGAGAAGATCATCAGCCTCCTTGAGCAAGGAGTCGATATCAACGTTAGCAATGCTGTAAGTAAACGCTCTACATACCACCATGTCGCTTAAGAACATGGATGAACCGACTTGTGTCTAGAAAACTATTTAGATAATTAAATACGAAGTCTTATGTCGTCTACTTCCAACCTATCTTTGAAACTGCACTTTAACCTAAATGTTTATCCATCTATCATTATATTTATCCGATCAAAATTATGTAAATAAATAGTTTTCTTAAATTTAAGGTCTTTTTTTACTTTATCAATAGTTGGTGAAGAGCAAGCGGTTCATCCGATGTTTAATGATGACCGCCACGTGTGTGTTGCCATTAATGCCCGGTTCCTATATTCAACGAACGGCCGTTAGTTACATAACTTCGTAACTAACGGCCGTTCGTTGAATATAGGAACCGGGCATAAAACGTGGGCCCCGGTTACTATACTCAATTGACGAAACACGAAAGAGAAATACTTTCAAATCACACCAGTCTTCTGTGGGGTCTTGCTACTTCTCCGGACGAGCCTGCCTATTATACCACAGATCTCTAAGTTTAGCCTATTACTCAATTCATATAGTTCTATATGCGCTAGCCAATTGTTACGTGGTTGAATTCGATAAGAGAAACGGTATAAAACATTTGCGTGACGACAGGTTAATAAAGGAACCGCACTTCCTGTCATTTCCTATCGCCCTAGAAACAACGCCCTATATCCGGAGCACTCTACACTTGTGATGGCTTTATCAGGCATACTGAAAATTAAAAAAAAAAAGGTCAATTCTTACCACATTAAAGTACTTGGTGTTAATCAAATGATTCGTCAGTAAAATATTAATATGGTATCATTTTAAGGCAAGAGTGAATAAGCTTTAAACATGTTAGTGATTTAGCACATAAAGCCTTTATAGATAAAACATATATGGGCCCTAATTTTCCATACTAAGGGCGGATTTCAATATTCGATTTACAGATACATTTTGTTACAGGTTATAGAATTTTGACGTTAGTATTATGGAGCTAATGTCAAATACCTATCGCTAGTAACGCAATCTATCTTTAGATAGACTGTAATTAAATGATTACAGCTTTCCTTGAACTTTTAAGAGTGTGAACCTCGATTACGCCACTAACCACACGAAATGAATAAGTATATATGTAAATATATCTACTTTACGCTGCTCTTCTATGAGACCCTGGTACAGAAGTACTCTTCTCTCTCTCTTAAACAAATAAGAAGTCAAAAAAGTTTTCCCATTTCTGTAAGGTTCAATATTTAAACAAGTTTACGTTAAAAATATTTTCTGACCCCAGTCAAGCTGAATTGCACATATTGTATCTTCAATGTAATTGAACTGGGGCCTCAAAGAAAGGATTGAGAAACACAAAAAAGTATTGCGTATGGGTCTACAGGGAGCAATTTATTCTGGCTGCAAAGTTTACACAGACCCTAACATAAAGGCACCGCCGCATTTACTTAGAACTCGCCACTGCCTACGGTTTAGTGGCGAGGCTTATGTGCAGAATGTATATGTTGTATGTACATGTGTATAAGAAGACAATGTTCATGCACGTCTTCTACTGTAGTGATGTGCCCAGTAAAGGCGCTTTATCAATCTGTTTAGTTTAGTGATTTTTGTGATGTGTTGTATCTAGTATTGGAACATTACAATTTTGGTTCCAAGTGTATCGTGGTGATCACAAAATGTTGTGCAATAGAAAGTCCAATGTCCAATATTTTAGATAGATTTAAGCCTATTTCTGTACTAATTTTGTCACTTTTACAGAAATAGAAGATATCATCACACGTATGTTTTGAATTTGTAGGTTTTATAACAAATAACCTCAACTGTGTAATAATTTTATATTGTATTAAAGGCCGTCATGTTTTAATAATACGGCGTTTAAAAATTATTCCGCTTTACATTATATGACATGTAAGTAAATGTGATAGATGATTTATAGAACATGATATGATACGGAAAGAAATAGCAGTCTATAGAATTGCAATATAATCACAGTAATTGGCGTAATCTGAGTACCTCAATTACGGTGCACTTGTGTCATATCTACCTCGTTTTTGTATAATATCATATCAATGGTTAAAGGTATTTGCAAGTACCTAACTAACAATTATAGAAAATTCAAACGATGTTGATGGAGGATGATAAGTGGTGGTGGCATCCTTCTGCCTCTCATATGAATCATGTTGTAAGCGATTTTTGAATATGATTTTTACGACCGGCCGCCTGACTAACGTTAGACGACCCTCCTTTGGAAACGAACACCCAGATCCGAGACAATTATCTGTGAGTCTCATAAATACTTGTCCCGTGTGGGAATCGAACCCATGGCCCTCGAGGCCGAAACCAATAGATTAGCAACGGCGCCATCGAGTCGTCCTATATGTTAAACCGATAAAGAAGTAAAAAATGAAAAATAATCGAAATAGGTCCTGTAATGGAACCATAGGAAATTTCTAATGGGATCCAAGTCGCGTTTTACTTCTCAAGATTAGGGAGGAAATGGAAAAACATTTATGGAAAGCTATCATCACTTGCAACCAGATAAAAATAATCGTGGCCAAAGTCCTAAACTCCCAGTGTTGCATGAAGTTGAAAGAAAAGAAAAGTTGTATTCACGTTACGTAATCTAACGCGTCGCTACACTACGGACGTGCTTTTCCCTCCCTTAAGAATAAGGGTGTGTGTGAAGCACCCTCGTGGTGCCGTGTGAATGCCCGTTATCTCCTGCGGCTCCTATCCAACCTACGTACCTACGTTGAAATGGACAATGTTATGAAACGTACCCAAAACTTATATAAACTTGCCTGCAATTTATTCACACTCGATAAATATTGAAACTTAATTGATGCACAATGCAGTTGTACTACACAACGCTAAACGTTTAAACTTAGATAATGTCAGTACCGGTAAAGTTGAATATTTTTTTTGAAAAAAATGTACATTGACCGATTTCATAACATACTTATATAACTAGGATAGTCATAACTTTTGACGTTTAAAAAGATTTAAATAAATAATTTGGTTAATGCCAACTTGTGTCATGTATTTAGATAACTGAATTTTTTTAGCAGTCGAAAACGCGTAACTGCAGACAAAATGCAGTACTATGTCGTGACTGGTGTCGCGTGGTTCGCCATAATTTTCGGAATAAAGCAGGAACCTTATCAACTTTACGCTGAAATACACTTTATTGTTAAATCTTTTATGACTATATTCCACGTGAATTTCGATGGTTACAATGTTAGACTAATATCGTGTATAGGAAGGATAACTACGCGAATTATCTGAATTGAAATGTTTTTAAATATGATCAATGTTATTCTATAGGGCCAAAAAATTTATACGAGTTTACCTTATGGAATCTAGACCACCGCCGGTCTAGATTCAATAAGGTTAACATAACGTCATATCAGTTTCTTCTGCTACACTTTCTAATGGGTAATAATATTTGCATTCGTCACATATTTGTATCTTGTATACGGGAACGGAATAACTGTCAGTTATGTTTACAATTTGATAATTAGATTAACTGTTATTGACAATTCCATGTATAAAGTTATTGCGTATTGCTTTCTTCATAAAGAACATTACAGATTACTACAAGGTATAACTTCAAGTTAGGGAAGCGATTTCATTCGGTTTGATATGACTTGATTTACTCTTAAAAATCTTGTTCGCAGAACGGTTTGAATGCAATTCATCTGGCTTCCAAAGACGGCCACGTAGAAGTGGTTCGAGAGCTACTTGAGCGCGGCGCTGCAATCGACGCTGCAACTAAAAAGGGCAACACTGCACTGCACATCGCTTCTTTGGCAGGGCAGGAGGCAGTTGTCAAGCTACTAGTGCAGAATGGAGCCCAGGTATGCATCACGTACTTTGATAGTTAAAGCGGTTACTTTAAATCGTACTATACTAGGGTTGGCTTTAATAATAGACGTGCAACGGTACCGTGAAAAGAGGTATATCGAGTCCTGAACATATAACAACATAGTTAGCGAAAATAGAATAACAACACTAAAGAATTATACACCAAAGTAGTTTAATAGCATAGTCAATAATTTATGTTGAATATCCAAATGATTGTTGTTCATAGTATGATCTTTAAGTATCAAGAATGTCCAGCCGCGGTCTACCATTGGACTTTTGATTTTCGAATAGAGAATAAAAGATGGAAGGCAGGTTTAGATCAAACATTAACTGAATGCGCTATAGGACTTTAGCGAAGATGTTCAATTTAAAATAAATTAGAAACTCAATACATAGAAATCAAACGCCCAACAACGGAGAAGATTCAGGTTAAGGTTTGCAGAGTTAATATTCTAGTTGTGTTTATGTTAGTACTTGCTCGTCTAATGATGCGCGACACATTAGCTAATTAATGCGGCGTTTCATGGGAATATGTAATGATCGTCTATAGTCGTAACTTCGACGCGGTCCTCTTATAATGCCAGTTAAAAACACTGTTATAGCGACGATTAAGCTTTGATAGATTTTAAACGATTTTTATGAGTTATTTGCTTGATTAATAGGTAATGTTTCTATCGAAGCGTATTGCAGATAATATTGGATTTTAATATTTATAGGCTTTATTGCTTCACATTCAGAAGGCACGCTAGCCAACTTTTCTCAACCATTTCGGGAATGAAAATCAAATCTTAGCGTATATCCGGTGAACCTCGTCTAGATATTCTTATTTTAACACACGTTTCTTGGGGAATGTAAGCAATACACGAAACAACTATAAACAAAATAAAACAACTGAAACAACGCTCAATAGAGATTACGTTATTCCCGCAAGACTATGATCTTGTTAAATCAAAATCCTTGTTAAAATCAATCCTACATTATGTTTTCTTCGCATATAATTATTAATGTAAAATGTAATATTTGCACACCAGAAATTGTAGAATATAAGAACAACTTTTAATACCTATTATATGGTACGATGTTTAAACTAATAAACGTTCCTGTAATCTTTCTTTCCTTCTTTCAAAATATCGGGAACCAAGGTGTTTTACAGTCGAAAAGTAGGTAACATAAATCGGACGGGTTGAATGAGCTATCAACTTTATGCGCGGCGCAAATTGCTTCCGAGAATAAAAATACGCCATTATTCATATTGATCGATGTGCCGTTGACCCCTCTAACCGACTAAAGCGAGCGATCGACACTTCGAATTAAACATTAATTTATTACTCTTAATTAAGAAGAGAGCTATGGGTTATGAGTTCAAAAAGTGCACGCTTATATTAAATAATAAAAAGTTGTCATTAAAAATAATGGCCGTTCGGCAAAAATGAGTTGCGTCGATAGAAGCATATAATTTATACGGAAGTATATACAGAATTTCCACCAATGACATAAATTGTGTAATCTAAATAAAAGGTACGAAACTACGAGTGAATGAAAAAGAGAAAATAACGCTCAAATTACGTCAATATATAATACTCAATATTTTTGGAACGTATCGTGTAGTGATTTTTTTGTACCCAGTGTAATATTCGATTGAAGTAAGGGGTGTAATGATATGCCCGGCGTTGAGATCGGGTACAATTAAAAAGTATCGGCTTATATCTTAAATAATAATTTCGCGTATTTACACGATTGCATATTACACATTACATAGGTCAAACAAAAACATCAATAAAACCCGCGTGTCATCACACATTAAATAAGTCTGCAGTATGTGAGTACACGCTAAATCGCACAAACCATTATATCAAGTATGATACTGATCCTTTTAAAAGCACACATATTCGTCCAAGGATGATTCTCGAGGCAATTCAAATTAAATACACAATAACTTTTAATAGAGAAGAAGGTTGGGTGCTACCATCAGCTTGGGAGCCTATTATTAATAAAATTAAGTCTACGCCAAAACGAAACACAACTATGCGACAAGAATAAGCAAGTTCTGCGTAAATCGGCACAAAACTTAATAATTGTAAATACTGGCGGTAGCCCGGGCTAAAAATGACACAGACATCTATAACCTCAGTCGGTCCCGTGACTATGAACGCTCTAAAGCACGGATGAGCAACGCGCGGCCCGCGGGCCGCTTGCGGCCCCTTAAACATGTTTATGCGGCCCGCCAAGCATGTCTAAAATTGAATTTATTTTATCGAATTTCTCCCGTCAATATATTGTTATAAAAGTAATTATAATAAAATGGTAGCACATACTGAACCGAAATATTTTTTGTTCGTGTTTCTGTTCTTTTCTTGTTTGTTTTTACCTTTCATTAAAATTTGTATATGAAATCTTTACTTTTTTTTAATTTTATACTTTTTTGTTCTAATATTTATTATAAATAAATTTCGTAAATTATTATGTGCGGCCCGCCAAAAAAATTTGAAATTTAAATTGGCCCATTGATTAAAAAGGTTGCTCACCCCTGCTCTAAAGGGTTCGAAACGTCGGGAAATAAAACTAAAAATAAACGCGATAAATCCGTTAAAATGTTTTATTCAGTAGTATATCTTAAACTTTTCAGTTCGAATCCTATTATAACATTATTGGCACATTATACAAACACATTAGCGATATCACTTTGATGGTTATTTCTCTGAACATGTCATTTCCGCACCGAAAACTGAACCGTATCTTGTTCTAGGTCAACATCCAATCGCAGAATGGCTTCACCCCTTTGTACATGGCCGCTCAGGAGAATCACGATGGAGTGGTTAAGTTCTTGCTGGCGAATGGTGCCAACCAGAGTCTCGCTACAGAGGTAGTTATAACGCTTCAACATACATTCAATATATACGAACATTACAAAGAAATAAAGTCAGACAATTAGCTCAAGTAGATTAAACAGGAACGAATTCTCTTGGTTTTTTTAAATAAAACAGATGAGGCCTTTGCCCAGCAGCGGAACATGTATAGGCTGTTACTTTACTGTTCCGTGACTATCGATGATGGACAGAATTCAAAAAGTCGGAAACTAAAAAAAAAATTAAATAAATTATACGTTTTGAAGCTTTAATATAAATTACACATTTTAAAGCCTGAATTGGTTACATGTTATGGCTCCCTATTTCATGAAGATTTCCGATAACATAATGCCTATTTCATGAATTTAGAGCATTCTCACTCATTAGATCGCAATTTTGCCATCAGGATGGATTCACTCCTCTGGCAGTAGCTATGCAGCAGGGTCACGAAAAAGTGGTAGCCGTTCTGCTAGAAGCTGACACCCGCGGTAGGGTCCGATTGCCAGCCCTACACATCGCGGCCAAGAAGGACGACGTGAAGGCGGCTAATTTATTACTGGAGGTAAAAGTTGAAAAAGCAAATATGAAGTTGGGAGGCTGTAACAGAAGATGGATTTGCATCTTAATAATAACATTTATACAGTTCCTAACTAGTTCTAGACGGACGTACTCGTTCCACGCTTCCGAACTAATGCGATTCGCTCTACTATTTACAATGCTTAGTAATTTAACGAAATGCATGTGCTTGTCGGTCATGTCCGTATGAATTTGGACCTTTACTATCTACATCATACTTATTTATTAATCATCAGTTTAATTAAAAATACATACAATGAGCGATACTAGAAAAAATAGATCGTCTTTCCGCCCACCAATTAGACGGCCAACCTCGGCAACTGCGCCACGGAGTCATAATTTTTTTTGTTTTTTTGAAGTAAAACTTCTAATGCGATTTCCAACAACGTTAAACGTTTAACGCTACCATGGAGAGGGTATGAAAGTACTGTTGCGTTAAGCGTCCAACGCTCCTAGGGAGGGCGAATAGAAAGAGACAGAGTGAGAGTGAATGCGTGGTGCTCGAAATTTCAATTCTTCCGCGCGGAGGGACTCCACGCACTACTATTTTTTTTTGTTTTAGAGGTATTAAAACTGTGCCGCGGAGTCACCAATAATTTACACTATTTTGTCCCGTTGAAATAACTGACCGTTCGCTCTCCGACGTAGAACGAGCACAATCCGGACGTGACGTCGAAGTCGGGTTTCACGCCGTTACACATAGCGGCGCACTACGGCAACGAGGCGGTGGCGCGTCTCCTCCTGGCGAAGGGTGCTGACGTGAACTGCGCGGCGAAACACAACATATGCCCGTTGCACGTTGCCGCCAAATGGGGTACGTTTCTCTCTATCAAGCGTTACAATTATATACAGGGAGCTTCTGGACAGCGTGAAAGGGACAGCTGGGTGAAACACGTGGGTTGAGAGAACACGCTTTGTTAGGGTTCCGTACCCAAAGGGTAAAATGGAACCCTATTACTAAGACTCCGCTGGCAAGCTAAAAAGATGGCAAGCTGGCGGTACATCTGATTTAAAGTGATAAAATAAAAAAAAAAAACAAAATCAAATGGTTTTATTCAACATAGGAGTGTTACACTCGCTTATTGATAGTCAAAATACTACCACCGGTTCGGAAAAGATATCTGCCACCCATGGACATATCCGACACCCGAAGGGTTGCAGGTGCGTTACTTTTAATAAAAGTGAGCTCCTTGGTCACTCACAAGACGAAACGCAGACGTATAACACTTTCACTTTACGCGGGTTTTCTGCGAGGTCGTGGTACTTCATCACACGAAACTGCCTATTCGTGCAACAACGAAGACTGTCCCGTGGCCCTACCGCAGTTGAAATATTACTTATTGCTATTTTTAGGACAGAGTAACATAGAAGATTGAAAGAAACTTACAATTTTTACTCTGACATAATTTTATCCAATTACTTACCTGTTCATGTGTAATAAAAGGACGGACTAATAACCTGAATATGCACTGTCCGGTTTAAAGCCATTATTCTGCATCACGTAATCTAGGAGAGGGGTGGCAACCCTTCTGGGCCCTAATGCGTCACATGGGATTATTATCGTATAAAAATGGCTACATGACATATGTTTTGTAATGCATATAATACATTAATTATCATTTCATTTGCATAATTTTTTTTATAAAAAGAAAACTTGATACAATTAAAAAGGTATAAAAAATAATTAAATCATTAAATACTAAATATTTACATGATATCTAACAATCCTAGGCCTCGTGGCAATTGTAAACAATTTGTAAATAAAAACTAGTAATAACGGGAAAAGCAAATGTTATGATTATTTAATGGCATCGTAATTATAAATTTATAAACGTAGCAAATTTGGTGGGATTATTTTTACTAAGCTGGTAATTATTTTTAAATAAGGATTAAAACATTAAACATAAAGTATCGCAGAATGGGAAACAAGGTTTTTGGCAATTAATTGCCCTTTTCCAGTTGAGTTCCCCTTCATTACTGCATAGTCATAAACAGAAGTTAACTATTCTACTGCCCTATAGGGTTGACCGGGGAGGGAAAGTTAAGACATTCCATGATTTTTCTACTAAAGCCTAATAAGTTGGCTATGGAAATAAAAAAAAATGTAGTCTAAATATAGTCTCTTTTATGGCCATGGTGATAAGTGTTCGAAATATCGAGCAAGTATAAACAAAACACGGCAATTTTCAAAAATTTTCAGTAATTGCATAAATAAAAAACTTTAAAAAAACGTTAACAATTTGGCCTAAAATTCGCTTTAAAAAGCTCTTTCAGACAACTTTTAGATCAAATATTCATATTTTATCATACTCTAATATTTTTTTAACCAGGCAAAGAGAATATGGTAGCTCTACTGTGCGATAATGGTGCGAATGTGGAGGCGCGCACTAGGGATGGTCTCACGCCGTTGCACTGCGCCGCTCGCTCCGGCCACGAGCGTGTAGTCGAGACCCTGCTTGATAGAGGCGCGCCCATCACTAGCAAGAGCAAGGTGAGTCATTGTCCTCGAACCAAGCCAAACGGGGGTAAACAAACGTATTCATCGCTAATTGAGGTCAAACAGGCTGTTTTTCTTGTGGCGAAAATCCGGAGATCGAGTTGGCGTCCGAAGTATGTAAGTGTTGGGTCAGCTTTTGCTAAAAAGCTACTCACTGTTGTGTCTTTGTAGCATCGACTGGGGATACGGAAACACGAACTACGGCCCAACCTGACTATGGCTTTCTTAGGCTTTCTCTCCCCAGGTGATAGGACACCCTGTCCGGTCATATGGTGCTGTGATGGTACAATTAGCACAGCACCTGTCCCGAGTCCCTATTGAGTGCAGACACTCAAAAGGCTCACTAACAGAGGAGAAGGTTACACGTAGGCCAGCCTGCTGCGCCCTGGTCTCCAGTGGCAGATATCCATGGTGGCATGTGGGAATACCACCTGCCATCTGCTTTTGACCATAACAAAGGCTGACTGTACAGAATGCCATTCATTACGTCCACCCGTGGTAGCTCTTAGCTTAAGGTATAACAATAAAGTTTAAATAAATAAAAAAGAGGTGCGTGATTATGGTAGAACACTCGTTTGGAACGAAGTTCCTTTCGTGGTATATCGTTACTGGGGTCGTGAGGTAAAAGCCAACCCCCATCAGCCAAATCCGTACCATCCGAACTTCGTTCCAATAAATAAATCTGGAATCCTGTAGCATCGGATTATTGTTGTTAACAACAGAACGGCCTAGCGCCCCTCCATATGGCGGCGCAGGGTGACCATGCGGAGGCGGCCAGGGTGCTCTTGTCCCGGCGGGCACCCGTCGATGACGTCACCGTCGACTACCTCACCGCTCTGCACGTGGCGGCCCATTGCGGGCACGCGAAGGTCGCCAAGTTGCTACTTGACAGGTGAATGGCTCTTTTTCCTTTTTAAGAAGTGGCAAACGGGAACGATTATAGTAATTTAGATTTGTGGGTGCATTGTCAGACTTGAAGAGGTTTTTATGAGCAAATAAGCAAGTGGTTCGCCTGGTACGCCCACGGGTATTTCAGTTACCTGTAAGAACTGTTTTATTTGGCAAAGAATTTGCTACCAATTTAAGAGTTAATGGGTGGCGGTTTTCACTAACCGTCAGGTGAACCGCCCGTTCGCAACTCAACTTTACACAGAAAATAATAAAAAAGTATATAGCCGCCACGATTTCCAGTGATTTCACATATTTAAGAAATATAATTTTTCACTTATTTATATTATCTCTGACACAAACGGGGTGAAAAAGGATAGGTACTGACTACGCTTGCAAAGTCCAAAGCGCAATAGGTTTCGACATCAGGCACAGATGTAATACAATAGTAATTCATGCATGTAGTAAATATGAAAAGAAGATAAGTTATTAGTACATGCCATTAGGATTCAAACTCACGACCAAAGCCATCACTACTTCTAATTTGTATAGAAATACTTAGAATATAGAAATAAATTTGAAACGGTTGGAATTGTTATTTCAAGTACTAGGTATTAACTTCTTAAAGTTCTCTTTTCTCTTTTCCATTTTGAAATTAATAAATTGCCAAAGACAATAACTATCACGCCTGGTCAAATGGCATTATTTATATACACTGGCATATAATAATATACTCGTACATTTAGTATACACTTCAGCTTGCTTACGCGTTGAGCAAGTATATCTGACCTCATCGTATACACCATAGTGCGTATAAATTGCCCAAAAATTATATACAGATGATTTCAAATGTAATTTTTTTCATCGTCTAGAAACGCCGACGCCAATGCTCGGGCTTTAAATGGATTCACACCCTTGCACATCGCTTGCAAGAAGAACCGAATCAAAGTCGTCGAACTGCTGCTTAAATATGGTGCAAGTAAGTGTGCTTTCCTCATAATCCTTTGACAGTCATGTATACAAGTACACAATATTGAAGTACTTCGTCACACATTCAACGGTAGTACCTACTCGCATTTTGATATATTTTGGACAGTCTTCTTAAAGGCTGTATTATGTGGATCAAATTTTAGCTGTTGTTTTGCAACTTACTACTATTATAACATAAAAAGCAGGTGAAAGTCAGTTCCAGATTTCATATATAAAAATCGAGACCGCATCGCAAGAAAGCTGTCAAACGTCTTAATTTTCATGACTATTTTGTTAAGGTGTTAGTTGCAACAGACTAATTAGTCTCTTGCAAAATCTGTTAAAAAATAAAAAAAATGTCTATTTTAAATTACCTAAAAAACCAATTTATGGCGTGAAGTTATTAATTCAGTTATGTTATGACTAGAAGTCGTAACTTATGCTAAAAGAATTTTAACTTAAAAAGTAACCGCTGAAACATTGAATAAACAAAATCTTCGGATTTTTCTGGTTTTGAGATAAAAAAAATCTTGTTACTTAACACTAAGGCAATTCGACATTACTTTGCGTATAATGTTCATTTTTCATGAACATATTTAATGACGTTACTCACGAGTAACGCTTCTTTGTGACAACGTCCAGCTTCCTGTGGTAACTTGATAAGTTAAATGGTGCACCAAACCTAACATACCTAATAAATTAGTTTAAGTTGATAAATATCTTCCTATTCCTTTACAAGAATAATAAAAAAATATAATTTTATATAATAAATCGATTTTTAAAATCTCTAAACGACTTCTAAAATTGTTGATAATAAATATTTAAGGAACGGCACACATCAATTTTATATAATTTATTGCGTAAATTTATTTACTCGGCATTAAATGATCATTTCTTTAGTGAATACAAGTAAGCTCAATTCACAAATAATTTTTTTATTAATTAAAGATTTATTGAATATATCATGATATCATATCATGCAATTTTTATTGATTTTCGTAAACCAAGTCAAACCGATCGAAATGCCAACATAACTATTACTTACGGTTTGAGGCAGCGGTAATTAACTCGAATGATGTCATTGTTTGTCATAGATTTTGATAGTTCTGAAACACATCTCTGTAAATTTCGAACACTTCACTCAACCACACTTTTAACCATATCTCTGACATTATTTAAAAACTAACGGACACTTGTCAGCTATTGCAATGTAAGAATCTTAAATAAAACCGTGATAACAAAAGGGCAATACGAAGAACGACTCATTGTTTCCCGCATTACGAACGTCTAAGCCAAACGCATCGTTCATGTGAGGGTATGACTATTTTGATTCATCGACCTCTAAGCAGACAGTTTTCTTGTGCGCCTACAGATGCCACTATAAGTCTTACTAATGAATAATTGTGTGTCGGTTCTCTAGGGGTTTTTATATGGTTAATATTTTTACTACCTCACTTTAATTTGTACAGGTGATTTTGTTAAGTTTCTGTGAATAAAAGAAACAATAGCTAGCATGCGAATCTTATCTGATAACTTTTGGTACATGAAACATTCATTCAATTAAAATTCGTTATTTCTATTGCAACGAAATCTGGGCATTTTTGCTAGTTTATCGAGAAATCAATCAATCAATCAAATATCTTTATTCATATAGAGGCTTGCGCGTTCTTATGAATCGTCAAATTGTATATAAGAAATTATACTTATATGTTCATAAGGTACCACCGGTTCGGAAAGCAGTTTCTGTTGAGAAGACATCGCAAGAAACTCAACAGTTGCTCTTTTCCAAAAATATTAGCTTACAATATAACATACCGATATACATAGTCTTATTCTAGACTACGTGAGTATCAACGATATTAACTCCACACATTGCCGTCGTCGAAATTTTAAGATCCGCAGTATTGTATGTATATCGCTTTTTTTATTGGACGATATTTAGCCAGATCATTTAGCTCAGATATTACTCGTATGTTATCAAAACCTTTATAGCTTAAAAAGTGACATTTAAAATACTTACTCAACCTTGTCTTCAGGTATCCAAGCGACCACGGAGTCAGGGTTGACACCGCTGCACGTTGCAGCTTTTATGGGCTGCATGAACATCGTCATTTACCTGCTGCAGCACGAGGCAAATCCAGACGTGCCCACTGTCAGGGGTGAAACGCCGTTGCACCTTGCTGCAAGGGCCAACCAAGTGAGCTATATAAAATTCATGTGCTAAAACATAACTTTAAAATCATCACCCTCCTGCCCTTTGTTCCACAAAAGTGGGGTCGGCACAACACGTGAGTCATGTTGTGAGTGGTTTTGGATAGGTTTTATAACGGCCGCCTGACTGACGTCAACTCTGCTTGGGAACTCGGATCCGGTACAATTATCTGTGGTCACACATATACTTGTCCCGTGTGGGAATCGAACCCCACCCCCGGCGCCGAAGCCAACAAATTAGCACCTGTGCCACCGAGTCGAAATTAAAAAAATGTGTAAATAAAACTGCTGCAATATTTATCAGTCGCCTACTACCCATAGTAAAGGCTTAGTTTGGGACTAGACAACGTTGTGTAAAAATATGATCTGAGATATTTACTTAATTATACATATTCTTTGAGACGAGATGACTGTCTTCAGCTACTTTTGCTGTATCGCATGGCTTTCTTCAGACGGACATAATCCGAATACTGCTGCGAAACGGCGCAGCAGTTGAGGCGAAGGCTCGCGAAAGACAGACGCCGCTGCACATCGCATCCCGCCTCGGAAATGTGGACATTGCAGTGCTGCTTCTGCAGCATGGCGCTGACGTCAGAGCGATGACGGCTGACCACTACAACGCCTTGCACATTGCAGCCAAACAGCACAATCACGACGTGAGTTCTGAAATCAGTTTAAATGAAAGCAGTTCATTTACGCAACAATGAAGAGCATCCTTTAAAAGGAATTCCGATCAACCTTTAAAAGGTAGGCAGTACGAAACAATTCACCCTTTAAAAGGTAGGCAGTTCTAAACAATGTTGTATTTGTATGAACAAAAAAAAATTTTGGTTGTTTTGATGGATTTTTATTTGTTGTAATGCGAAATGGGTTACTCTTTTTACGGAGAAAAACAAAAGAATGATTAGCGTTTACTGTAAAAGACTTTGTAAGGGTACAAAATAAATTCAAATTTGTCATATTTTAGGTTGCTGCAGCACTGATTGAGCACAACGCCCCTCTAACAGCTACCACTAAGAAAGGCTTCACTGCTTTGCATCTGGCCGCTAAGTATGGGAATTTAAAGGTAAGATCTAATTCTTATATACTCTTAAATTAAATATCAAAATTTCAGCTTTGTTATGAAAACTCGAATAATTACCATCCAAATTTTACTGCAAATCTTTTAAAAACGTCTCTTCTTCAGGTCGCCAACCTGCTCTTGGCCCATGGCGCATCACCTGATCAAGCGGGCAAAAACGGTATGACGCCTCTGCACATCGCTGCTCAATACGACCAGCAAGCTGTTGCTACCACACTGCTGGAAAAGGGGGCAGATGCCAAGGTACTATTTTCCTAACTAAGGATTGAAATTGTCTTTACCGCTGACTTATTTGTGTCTTAGAAAGATATTAAGTACTCATTTAATCAGATTTACTGACTTTGATGTAAAGATGAGCTCTGACAAAGAAAAATTACTTATCAACAGAAACAAAACAATCAGAATACAAAAATCAGTATTGCAGTATCAGGTGGGTTGTGAGTCGAGATGTCCAGCTCACAATTAAAAAAGGGAATAACTTATGTATATATCTAGGACGTAGAAATCTATAAACAAGCTCTCATGCCTTTTTACCTAAGAAAAATACTATCCCAGTTTCATGTATAGCTCCAAATGAAACAGGTGTTGGTCTCGGCATTGATCATGAATATAAACGAAATAGATATTGCGACAGTGTCTCAGATTTGAATCCTTGCCCTTTAGGCGGTCGCAAAGAATGGACACACACCGTTACATATTGCGGCACGGAAAAACCAGATGGAGACCGCAGCCACCTTACTGGAGTACGGGGCTCTGACCAACGCAGAGTCCAAAGCTGGATTTACTCCTTTGCACCTTGCGGCTCAACAGGTAAGGGCATTTAGAAGGAATGCTTAAAAATTCATCAATATGTTACGAGCATAACATAATCTTGAGCATACAGATCAAAACTCAAATGTGCTGTCATGCTTTTACCAATAGTTCTTTGTGTTATTATTATTTACGTTTTTAATTTCATCAAATTTGTGTTATTCATTCAATATTATGAGTTGACGATAACGTTAAATATGTACCACAGGGCCACGCCGAAATGTGCTCACTACTTCTCGAACATGGCGCAGAAGTAGATCAACAGGCAAAGAACGGATTGTCCGCTTTCCATCTCTCTGCTCAGGAGGACAGAGTCTCCGTGGCTCAATTGCTGATGAAGAACGGAGGACAGGTCTGGATACTTTATATACATATATATTTTTATATACCGTGAACTATTATTGATGACTCAGCAATGGTCAGTTTTGCCGTGACTTAAAAATTTCATTTTTAAATATTTCTTCATAATCGTGCTAGTTCTTCTAATTTCGTATTTTAGTTAACATCAACGTCAGCTAAGAAAACTTGATTATATGAAATGTTTTATTTAAAACAATGAACTCTCGACTAAGTCTTCTATAACTCTAAAGTGTAATTGACTATAATTATTTGACTATCTTGAATTTGCAGGTGGATATTTGTACGAAAGGAGGATATACGCCACTCCACATCGCTAGCCACTACGGACAAGCCAACATGGTTCGCTACTTGCTCGAAAACGGGGCATCAGTGAAAGCTCAAACTAACCATGGGTGAGTCATAACAAACAACGCAATGCGAACGAATCTGCCTATAGAAGAGCTAGTCGTGAGCAATTATTTTTATTTTTATGTACATACTTTTGAACAGGGCAAGGTTACTTACATAAACTCTAGCTATTCTTGTCCCATTACGGTGTAGGCAAAAAGAACATTTCTCTCCGACTTCAATGATTATTTTGTACGTAGTTTGAACTAGATGAGGTTACTTATAACCTCTAAAGTAGCTTGTTCAATATAGTGTAGGCAAAAACAACATAGCTCTCAGCTTCAGTCAGCTGTTAATAAGCGATTGTGATAGGTAGAGGCTGATTTCACATGTTAAGGCGGACACTACATGTAATTAAAAGAAACAATGTTACGGATTTTATCACGTTTATTCATCACAAATGATGGATTCCGCGGTGGGTTAACAGTAACATCAGGACGTCTAATTCCCAAGACTTTCCTGTCACCAGGAAGCGTTTCATAGTATTAAAACAATTTTCAATTATTTACATTCGGAATAAATACAATGAAATTCGTAAAGATAGATTAATGAGACGGGACACAAGGTACGCTTTGTACAAAACTAGTAATGATATTTTATAAGATCTATATAATTAGATTAAGATTATATAATTAGTATAATAGAGGCACTAATTTATGAAATTTGAAGGAACTCCTTTCTATACACTGGAAATATATTAACATAGGCAATTATATTTATTTAACAAGGATAGATAAGGATTTTTTATCTCTTATTAGAAACTTGCAGGGTCCTGTTCAATGATAGAAATGATGTGGACAGTTATCGTCCATTACATATTTGTTTTCAAATCAGATATACCGCGCTCCACCACGCAGCACAGCAAGGGCACATAAACATCGTCAACATACTTCTTGAACATAAGGCGGATCCAAATGCTACTACAGTCGTAAGTTTTTCAACAATACTTTCATTTCACCAAATGATATGCTTAATTTTTTCACGTTTTTTGTTTCTTTATGTCTCCTTTCGCAGAAGTCAACAAGGCCAAGATGTAAAATAAATTTCTAGGTTTTACTATATTTTACATCTACTAGCTGATCCGTACAAAATTTTTGCCCTGTACCGTGATGTCACTGAATTATAAAATAATAATGTGCAAATAAGTAGTTATCAATGAAAGTTTTCTTATTTAATATTATAATAACGGTAAAATTCATTCTTATTTTCTATGTGTAATTTAAACGAATAGTCAATAGAGGGCATTATCATATATTCTTTATGAAGAAATTTATAAAAATAAAGAAAAAAAATCTTTTGAATGAAAATGTTAACTTTATTATATTTGACATAGTGTTGACATTAGAAAATAGTGTTTTAATCATAAAATTTGATTAAGGATTTATGGAAGTTTTTGACATTGCTAATTCAGTTTAACTTTTTTTTTATGTGAAAAGTTGTCAAGCTAGTAGGCAATTCACTTGATGTTAAATGAATACCGCCTATGGGCATCTGCAACACCCAATGGCTTGCTGATGTGTTGCAAACCTTTCAAATGTGGGCCTCAGTTACCTCACTCACAGCGGAACCTGTTGTGTGGCCCTACCAAAGTAAAAGCTCATAATTCAATGTAACTCTTACATGTAACTATCTGCAATCCACCAGAATGGTCAAACTCCATTGGACATCTCATCCAAACTGGGCTACGTCACAGTTATGGAGACCCTTAAGGAGGTCTCAGACCCCTCCATAGCGGCTGCTTCACAAGAGAAGTACAAGGTCGTGGCACCGGAGACCATGCTGGAAACATTTATGTCTGACTCCGAAGAAGAAGGGGGTACGTTCTTTTTTAACATAAAATATGATGAAACAGTTTTAAGTATAAAAGACTGAGAAGTTGTTTAAGAAATTTCTTAATTACTGAAACAGCATTGAATTATCTTTGCGTTATGAAAACGTCAGTTGGCAAAGAACATTGATATAACTCTTTCTCTTATCACCAACAAAGGTAGGCAGAAATTACGGAATCCCCATATACACTCTATACCTATTTTCCATCCAAACATTTATCATACATTTACGTGAAATTGACACACCACATCACACATCCATACATACAGGCGAGATGCTGAAAAATTTCATAATCAGAAGAATGTCTTTGCATATGAATATAAACATAGTGTACATGTAGGCGGCCTTATTGCTAAGGTAGCAATTTCTTCCAGGCAAACTGCAGGATAACTGTGCAAAATTAAAGAGAAATATGTATCGCCGTACACAAATGACCATGTTTCGTATCCAAGTATTCCTTTAATATGAACAATTTGTATATAGGCGAGGATACAATTCTCAACGATCAGCCGTACCGCTATCTGACGGTGGACGACATGAAGTCCCTCGGGGATGATTCCCTGCCCATTGATGTGACAAAAGACGAGCGCACAGAATCAGCAATGAGCCACAAAAACATCATGGAGATATCTCAAGGTCAGTATTTACGTGATGATGGTATTATCATGTATTCTTTAGATCGTATCATGAATATATTCTTTGGATGGTATTATCATATGTTCTTTAGATGGTATTATCATACATTCTTTATAAGAACCTTCGAGAGTCTCAGGGTCAGTATTGGACGTGAACTTGCTTCATAAACAAAAGATACCATCAGTACTACCTATTGTAGATGAGGCTCTATGCAAGCGTTTATTAAATGTTTATTATATTGTGATAGAACAATGTGAAAATGTTGTATGTGTGGGACCGAGGTATTTTCATGAATTGGGATAAAATGACAAGTTAAAGTCATTTACATCTAAGTCGCAAACACGAATACTTTTTCTATTAACAACTTTATAATACAACGAAGATGATTGAAGGAATGCCTAAGATAATATAGGAAAAAAAAAGGATTTGGTATCTTCTTTGGTTGCTCGATTTACTTGTTATTAAAAGAAGTACATTTCATCATCATCATTTCAGCCTGTTTGGGTCCACTGCTGAACATAGGCTTCCCTCATAGACTGCCACGAAGTACGACTTAGAAAATAAAATACTTAAATACTGGTATTTTTTTTTATTAACATAAGAATCCTAATCAATTTTTCTAATTAACGTAGGATCGGTGAACGGTATACCTTATCAGCCGCAACAAGAGGTGGTGGTAAAGAGCATCAGCCATTATAGCACAGCGCAGGCACCTAAAGGATACTGTTACAATGTGGACCCGACGCAACCCAAGTCAGTAATTTATCCAAGAACAAAAAACAAATGATCGTCCTCTCTTTACTGTTTTTAAGTAAGCTTATTCAAACTCAGTTTCGTTCGTTCGAAATTATTTGTGGCGTCGGAAACGATTAAAGTGTTATTGTTCTCAACACAAAATTAATGTAAAAAACCCTTTGAGATTTTAACGTTAAATCTAACGAGGAACCTCACTTTAGATTCTTTTATTTGTCCAATTACAGTAGCTAGTATCTAGTTTTTGTTTATTGATAACGAACATAATGAATGATATGGTTTCAGAGTATTCGATAGCTCTAATCGTTATGATAAATGTGCACGCTCACTTGGATGTGGAACTGCAGGAAGAAACTCCAGTGGAAAAAGTAAGTGGTAAAAGCAAATTTAATACATACAATGCTGTGTGATTTTCACGTAACAATAATAAAAAAATAAGTGTATAATAATTCATGGTTACATAAATTACGCTAAATTGTTGATTTCTTTGCCTATTGATGCAAAGTAAACTTCGAAAGGACAATATTGTATCAGTTAGCTGTTTCAATATAAAAATATATGAGGCCATAGAGGATCCAGTCGGTTCTTCTCTGAGCAGGTATTTGGAACGCTTATATGGACCTTAATTAAATGAACCTTTCTTAACTCGGACACGATTCGCTATGGCTTTATTCTTTGCTTCCGTTGGAACTTCAGAATAAAAATTATATTTAAAAAAGTAGCTATTTTGTGAACAAATATCGAGACATTCCTTCGGCTAGTTTTTGAGTTATGCAGACACAAATATAAGGAAACTGTGTGTAAGTAAAGTATCAGCTTATACATGTCCCACTGCTGGGCAAAGGCCTCCTCTGTACAGAGGGTAAACTGTGTGTATATTAATGATATGTTTTATGTAAAAAAATAGCAATAACTCACACTAGGTGTCGTTATTTCGGACACTTACACTCCATTCGCCACTTAAAGAATGTGGACACAGACATAAGGAAACTGTGTATATTTATGATATATGTTCTATGTAAAAAAGATAACAATAGCTCACACCAACTGTGGTAAGGCCACGCAACAGTGTTCGCTATTGCACGAATGGGGAGGACCGTCCGGGTAAGTACCACGACTTCACAGAAGACCGGCGTAAAGCAGAAGTGTTACACTTCTGCGTTTCGTCTGGTGAGTGAGGTGGCCGGGGCTCACTTTATTTAAAGGTGGTAATGCATTTGAAATCCTACGGGTGTTGCAAATGTCCATGGGCAGGCGATTATCACTTAACATCAGGTGAACCACCAGCTCGTTTGCCACTTTTTTTTAATAAAAAAACAGGTGTCGTCGCTTCTGACACACACTCCAGTCGCCACTTAAAGAACCCAATAATTCTTGTGGTTTCAGCTTCTTGGTGTCATTCCTTGTGGACGCCCGTGGAGGGGCGATGCGAGGATGTCGCGGGGGTGGTGTCCGGGTCATCGTGCCCCCGTTGTCTGCTCAACAACCGACGAGGATTACGTGCAGGTATGTTCGTTTAAAAGTTATTCTTCTCCATTTTTCTAAAGAGCCTATCAATTATTTACACTAAATGGTAACAGTAAAAAAGGAACATTAGGTAAAACGTGTGTATTGCACACTCATCAAGGAGCAAAGATTTTTAAGGCAAGTCAATCTATGCATTCGGTCCAATAAACATCTTTCTGTACCGCAATTGTGTGTGTTTTTTGTATAAATAAGAACTATAATAGCGCAGTCCTAACGGAAAGTGGAAATTTATGATCATTTATATCACAATATACCTAGGAAAATGTTCTCAATCATTTTTGAAACTCTCTTCCCTTTATGACTTAATTGAACAACACTATAATTTAAAATAAGTCTATCTATTTATTATCTATTATCTATATCTCTTTATTGCAGATACTTAAAACCCTCTCGCATCAACCACATGCCTCCCCTAATGGAGGGGGAGGCTCTCGCGTCCAGAGTTCTGGAGATGGGTCCGGTCTCCGCCAAATTCTTGGGGTAAGTTGACGATGTCATTATATTGGTACTTTCTTTTCTGCGTTCATTATAATTATTTTACTGTTAACATCATGACTCCTGAACATAGTCCTCCAAAGACCATGCTTAACCTTGTAGCTAAATAAAAATGTAAAGCGCGTTTAAAGAACCGAGGGGGACTGTGAATTCAATAGTTTTTTCGTCGTTCTACTTTTAGTAATATAAGACCTCTTGACGACCATTTCATATTGACCCCTGGTTTAATGAGTATTGAGTTTTCAAGTACTTATAAATCTGCAACAAGCCCTGATGACATTTCTTACGTTGCGAAATGAACATACCAAGCTACGCTATCCACTTTGATGATTTGAGCTAAATAAATTTCAAAGAGTTACCAAACTTACACGAGGCATAAATATCTCACTTTCATGCTTTGAAATATTTTTATCTTTAAATCATACAAGGAACCTGTATTTTGATGAATGCCTCAAAGCAGCGCTTCTTATCATTTGTCGCAGGCCTGTGATACTGGAGGTGCCGCACTACGCTTCGCTGCGGGGCAAAGAGCGCGAGATAGTCATTCTGAGGTCCGACAACGGCACCAGCTGGCGGGAACACAACGCAGACGCGACAGAGGACGTGGTGCAGGACATACTGCACGAGACATTAGAGATAGAAGGTACTACAAAAATGACTACCATGCAATCAGAAAATGAGCTAATAAGCTCCCAACTCGCCATAACTACGCGCGATGTAATCAAAAACTATTAGTCTAATAGTAGAAGTAATAAAGACATATCGTCTTGTACTCGTATGTCTACAAAACGTGGAAGTACTTATGAAAGGCCATACAGACGAGGCTTTTGCCTAACAGCGGAAACTTGACGATACATTTTTATTTTTACTTGATTAATGTAATTACATTAACATAATTGATAAATTATTAAATGAATTTGAAAGTCCAATAGAACTTGGACTATCCGAACTAATGTGGACCGAGGCTAGTTAGGATAATCAAAAGTTCGGATAATACATAAATATTAATATATACTCCTATTATGTATATATATATATATATAGTGGCTGAATGAAATTAATGTAAATAAAGAAATTTTTGATGACTCCGTGGCACAGTTGCCAAGGTATTGGCTTCGGCGTCGGGGGTCGTGGGTTCGATTCCCACACGGGACAACTATTTGTGTGACCCACAGATAGTTGTTTCGCATCTGGGTTTTTGTCCGCGTGAAATTTATGTTTGTAAAACGTCCCTACAACACAGGATAATGTTATCATAAAGTGAGGGCAATGTTTTTAAAAAAAAAAAAAAAAAAAAAAAATTCTTTCAATCCACGTCCGTTCGGTTCATGGTTAACGTTTCAATCGGCAGATGCAAACGAAGACGACAAAGGTTGGGACGCGCCACGGGTCACCCGAATCCTCACGCACGACTTCCCGCAATACTTCGCGGTGATATCGCGTATCCGTCAGGAGGTGCACGCGATTGGACCAGAAGGTGAATAATTAGGAACTGCATTAGTGTCCCTTCTTTTTCTTCTCCTTAATCCACCTTAAGTTAGTTCGGCACGTATATCGTGTTGTCAATGGCTAGGCATCTTTAACATGAACGCAGTTATAAAATGGTAAAGAGTTAATTCTTAGAAAGCAAATAAAAATTATTAATTATTATGTTTTAATTTTTAAAGTCTATTTCCAAGCCATTATTTGCTTATAATAATAGTACCTATCTAATAACTGTTTCAATCTACAGACTTAACCATTTTACAAAAATGACCTCGTAATACGCAGTGCGAAGACATTCCATAAATCACAGATATTTATGTATGTAAAAATAAATTCATCTATTTTCCATCGAGCAATTAATATAAACTTTAAGGTGGCCTGGAAGAAATTGCTACCTTAGCAATAAGGCCGCCTGTATGTACACTATCTTTCCGGTATCTTCTTCCTTGTATTTCCTTGTGTGTAATAAAGTACATTCAAACAATCAATCAATCAATCTTCACTAAACTCATTCCAGGTGGCATGGTATCCAGCTCGGTGGTTCCTCAAGTACAGGCCGTTTTCCCCCAGGGTGCATTGACCAAGAAAATCAAAGTCGGCCTTCAGGTAAACCTGTTCAAACCGCGGCAAGGAGTCAAAGATAAAAATTTGAAAAAGATCACTGTCAACAATGTGTCCAAAAAGAAAAGGTTCTCTTTAATTTGGTAGTATTAGCTTACATGGTCGTATAACATATTTTTTGTATTTTATGAAATAAGGTGAGCAATTTCAATGGGGTGGATGCAGAGTAGCAATTGATGTGAATTTAATTAATCTTCAGTACTTGATTCTTTGATAAACTTTACTGATGACTACTTTCTGCTGAATAAAATAAGGTCTGGTCAGTGAGTCTAACAATTAAAGAGGTAAATACTTTTAAAAGTCATTGCTTTTGTCAAGATTGGTTTGTAAAAAACAGGCAACCTTTCGTTGACCTCGTGACGTGTATAAACATGTGACTGCAATTTTACGTAAAGTCCAGTTTAAAAATGTACAATTTCTGAAGTTAACCTTTTAAGTAAACGACTGGTGAGGCGTATAAAGATTGGCTCGCCACCTGGTGCGCTGAGGCCAAAATCAGCTCGATGACGTGGTTAGGCTATCTTCGATTAGGTTGACGTGATAAATGAGAGCTTGTATAATTCCGGTGCCAGTCATACATAAGACAGATTCACAATACATATAATAATAGAACTCATCATCTATTCTTTGAACCATGCCCTTAGTTCTGTTTTTATCAAAACAAAATGTAAAGATCATGGAATTCTACCCATTTAATGCTCGTAGCATTGATATTAAATTGAGTGTTAGTGAACGTTACAACACAGAATTTTACGTTTTTACGAATCAACTTAGTGGCCTAAGCAGTTATGTACGCCGTAATAAAACAGTCAGACATGTTATCTTTCGAATATCCACACCTCATAAAATAGTTTTCATCCACATTATTGTAAATTAAATTTGAAATACAAATGACTAGTGCTTAAATTCAGTTTAGTGCACTATCGCCATGACTATTTTTAGGCAGATTTAATTTTTTGTGTATTATTAAAATGTATGATACATGAAATAATACTGTGCCAGTTACCAATTATACTTTATATTGTAAGAGCCAGCTAGTTCATGATAAATAATAATTGTAATTAATAAATATGTATATAAATTACCTGTCTGTGTGTATGTGCCCCATAATGACATAATAATTAAATTTTAAGCAATGACATTTCTAAAATGTCTTCTTTGCCTTTATGTTATTAATATAACAAATAATATTCCTTGCTCTTACCATGAATTTAGCATGTTCTTAATTTCGGCAAACTATCGGTTTTTCGCAATGTCTTTATCACCTTAAGTCTAATTTAAAATGATGTTTTAGTATAGATAAAGCTTTTCTACATAATAAATATTTAAAGGAAATAAAAATATTCTTACAGGAAAATAAACCAAATTTAATGTAACTTCATGTTTATTAGCTTTGGTTGTTGTGTAATTCTGTGTAATATTAATCTTATTATTAGTTGTCCTTTACTTACGCTTGCTTACCTTTCGCAATCAAACCAACCCAATTCGCTTCATTTGAATTGGTATCATCGAAAAATTCATGGAATTGTTTGTGTTTTTAACATATGTAAAAAAGCCAAAGGGATTTCTATGGAAAAATTAAAAAATGTACATTAGTCCAACTCAATTTTCTGAAAACATGCCCATACAGCATGCACATACAGCATTGTAATTATAAAAATATTATAAATGTAGTCAGTAGCTGTCTAGTAATGATTCAAACCAGTCATACTAATTAAAATCATGTCAAGATTTTTGTGTACATTTTAGCAATAAGTGTGGCCATTTAACAATAGTACAAAAGATGATGCCAAAATTATTTTATACACACATATATCCAAAGATATCATAAAAGCCGCTAGTGCTAGTTTTAGCCTTTTTTAAATATTAGATGTAGTTTCATAATGTAAAGTATCCTTATATTCATAATCTAAACAGCCGTAATTGGTACGTGTGATTATTAGAATTTCGCTTCATATTTTTCTGGTGATTAAAAAAATCTTTAACACCTCACCAGAGTTTTATATTATGGGATGTGGGCATAATGAACTATTTATATACACTTTTTTTATGTGACAAGATGGCGAACGGCGGTTTACCTGATGTTAATTAATAACCGCCGCCCATTGACATTGGCAACATTCACAGGGCTGCATATGTGTTGCCACATTTAATGAAATGGGCCGGGCTACCTCACTCACCAATCGAGACGCAGAAGTGTAACACTTCGCGCCAGTCTTCTGTGAGGTTTTACCTGGACGAGCCTGCCCATTCGTGCAACAAAGGCCTGTTACATGGTCATACCACAGTTCATGTATTGTAAATGTTTAATATTACTAGCAGTACCATTTACAGCTACGGAGAGACGGCAATTAGACTTTCAGATCAAATGTTTTTAATTTTAATTTTTATAAGATCTTATAGATGTCTCTGAATTTTGAAGTCTATGGAAGTTTTACTATTGGTTTGTTTTACCAATGCATGATATCATTGGTAAAACAAATATACCATAATGTAAGAAGGAAATAAGACTTACTGTTAGGATAACCCTTTCGTAGATCTTAGGTTATGGGGTGACTAAAGTTTATCAATTTGGATATGGCCCACCACGGCTAATGAAAAGACGAGAGTATATATATAAGGATTATACTCTGTATTTTATACGATATCATAAACAATATATTATATCTATGGTAGTACACCTTATATTTGCGAATATACCATACGTAGCTTAACAAACAAAGTATAATGTGAACGATACGCAGACAGAGTTTAAAACAAGTATATTTTTAAATTTTTTTAGTATTCAATAAATTTTACAACTGTGTGCTAAGCGACTAACTGTTTGCAGATCGTCAACTTTATTCATTGTTTCTATATTTATTCATTATTTATAAGGTCGTATTATACATCAAGCAATAATTTGATAATATGCGTATATGCGATTATATTAAGCAGTTAGTTGTATGGAAAACGTAGTTACCAGTTTGTTAGTGAAAATTAAATGTTATATGTAGTAGGAAGCCGAGTGATAATCTACTCAAAGTAAATATTATTTTGACTTCTATGTGTTAATTAAGATTATAATAATATTCTCTTAGTTGTTGCTCATTAAAGGAACGCATTTGAAATATAACAATCTTATAAAAATATGATTGCGTAAAACGTTTAGTTTTAAGATTCGCCCTAAATTTTAGATTTGTATCCATAACTTGGCTATTTCATAACTTCAATTGGCGATAACCTTACCACTCGTCACGCAAAACCTTACTAGTGGACAACAAGACAAGTCAAGCCTTTCTCCAATCCTTTTTTTATTAGACAATTATTAGGTTTTGTTCACTATTTAAACATTACGGTTTATGCGTTACTCCTTTAGGGATAATGTCATACCCAATAAATTTAGTATTTTCTTAAAAGTACTCAGCGTTATTGTAAAATTACATTAAAATCATTTAAAATGACTATTTGTTTTTAATCAAAGTGAATTTGATATGTATGAAATCACTGGAGAACCTCTCACACAGCGTTTTAGACGCGTATAGAATTTGTGTTAAAATATTTTTCTCTAGTTGGTCTTTAGGTTAGAAATCTAGCATGTTTGTATTGTATACATCTAAAGAAGCTTATTAATCGAAAACTATATTTAAGAAAGTAGAAATAAGATGTCTTTTTGGTGTTCTTAGTTAATGCAATTTGGAGTGTCTTATCTTTAAGTATGACATTGTATTTTTAAGGCGATTGCTAAATTTATTGGGTAATTGTATTATGCGCTTTGTCTTGTGTACACAAGAATGTTTTTGTTGATGATAAAATATATTCCTAAAGACCAAACGTGAGACTTGCATGCTGTAAATACTTTCTTTTGGCTATTTTTTTTTTGTGTGTTCCGAGCTTTTTTGTTTGTTTCTTGAAGCGCATGTGTGAGAAAAAATGTTGTTTGAGTACAAGATGAATGATGTTCAAAATCCTTTTAAAAGCTTTTCCTGTGATTTCATATGTTCATATTTGCTTTGCACACCCACTCCCTTCCAACATAATGAGTCGTACACATTATGTGGAGTTCGAAAAAGAAATAGCAATCAGCAAACTGTATTGAAAGCTTAAGGTAAGTATTTTTTCATTTTGTTTTATTATCGCACCAATTCCTACCATGCACATAAAAAATTCTCAGAATACGTTTGGTCTTGAGGAAGTGTTCAATCTGTTCAATGAAATCATCACTTATAAACATGACCATATAGTAATTTTTGAGTCGTGATAGCTCAGTGTCCGGGCGCTCGCCTTTAATTCAACATACTCTAGCAATCTGAGTTCAATTCCAGGTTCCGGTACCAATGATATTGTTAATTTTAAGTGCTGACTTATCACGTGCTCAGTGGTGAAGGAAAACATCTTGAGGAAACCTGCATATTTTTGAAATAATAACAAAAAAAAAGTGTTTCGAAGATATGTGAAGTCCACCAATCCGCGGTGGACTATGCTCTGATACCCTTTGTACAGAAGAGGTCTATGCCCAGCAGTGGGGTCATGTATTGGCTGTTACTTTTCTCTACAGTAATTTAACATAATTTAAAGCAGGTCTACATTTTAATTAAATATTCCAATTTATTTTACTGCGACAATAGTTCGAGACTTGATAATTTTTACAGCAGAACGCTTGATATTTATATTTACTATTTGGCCAATAGCTAATTGCTTCTAAACTAACGGGTATTATGAGTTTGTTGTAAACTTTGATACATGGCTGCTGTCAAATTAATGTGAAGCTAAAGACTAAATTGAAATTATTAAGTAATTAAACAAATTACTGGCATCAATTAATGGCATAGGACAGAGATATAGATGCATAGACCAAAACTTAACATTACTCGTAATTCGTTTAGTTTTGCTTCATTTAGATCAGTTTACTTTAAATGGGTACGTGATCAAAAACCGTCATTATCTTGATTGTGAATAGCTCTACCTTTCCCACTCTCCCTGCAACTAGTCACAACGTGAAATATTACTTCTCCACATTTTCGGACACGCTGTCTTCAGACGATCGTCTTATATTGTTCATTTGTACCTGAAATTTCGATAGCCTGATAAACTTACTTCGAAAGTGCTTTCATACGAGAATCGCATTGTGTCGACAGGCGCAAATCATTGATTCGGAGCTGACTGCGAAACTTTTGGGCCGCGGTGTGGCTGTCTCCCCCGTGGTGACCGTGGAGCCGAGACGAAGGAAGTTCCATAAAGCCATCACCCTAAGCATGCCCGCGCCACGACCACACACACAGGGCATGACCAATCAGTACAGCACCTCATCGGCCCCAACTCTACGACTTCTATGCTCTATATCAGGTACGCATACGAAGTATCGCTTTCACGTAAAACGCGAATCATTCTGGATACTGGGAACAAACGGCAAATGAAGTACTTCGAGAATTGTTCTACCGCCTTTAGTTGTGGTGACTTGCCGCTCCACGGCTCGTTCCCATTATTCAAATGGTGTTTGTAAAGTGTTGCAATGGATTATGGCTTATCAGCTATAGACAAAAGAGACATAGCTTAGCTAAAAGGTAAGTGGGCCAGTAAAGTAGGAGAGAATCGGGCTTATAAGTAAATTGGCTTATATTCTATATACCACCGTATAACCTATATTCCATTACAACACGATTGTGTAGAGACAGCTCAATTTAAGTACAGTCTAATCGTAATATCGAATAGTTTCAATCTTAACTGACATCATCGGTAGAGGTTAGTTATTTTGAACTATTGATAGAGTAATACTAGAAGACATCTTTATAGTCATTAATCTTGTTCCATAGTAACCTTTTCTGTTTCGTAAACAATAGTGTAGTTGGAAAGACATTAACGATCTTAGTCAGAATATATCCCGTTTCAAAAGACGAAGGGGTGAAAGCATGTCGATAACAAAAAATACCTAGAGTAGTTGTTCATCCCGAAATCCAGTGATAAACAAAAGTCGGAACAGATTTATTTCACACACAAATTATATGATGCGCTTATAGCAAATACACTGACAGCTATATTGTAGCTGTGTCCCTTTGTGTGCGTTATGTTCGTGTCTACATTGTCTTTGTTCTCGTGTGTTTGTGTGTGTTGCACGCTCACCGTTTATGGAACTAAATTATACGCGGCCCACGTATTGGACGCACACCAACAGGGGTTTTTCGCAAACGATCTCTCGAAGGTAAAACAATAGACTTTACAAGTAACTTACAGACAGGGTTGATCTCGGTTTTAGTTTCACGTTACATTTTATTTCCTCCCCTTTTATCAATTATTTTCCTTTTTTGTTTTTTCGACACGTCATTTGATTTAGATGTTATCCCAACGCTCTTTCTGTTCTGATTCAAATGTCATGTTTATTCGATTTTATTTGAATTATTCTTAAATCAATATTTGAATGCTTCTCTATTCCATTTCTTGCTTCATACATTCTTCCTCTGTGCACGGGCTGAATTTTTTACGCTTTCTCAATACACTAATCACTCTGTATCATAAATAATGTAACGATTCTTGGAACATTGAAATGCACTGTGATGTACACTGGTAAATATTGTTTGGTTATATTTAGCCTAAACTTTTTGATATAACCTCTAGATAAATCGGCAAAAATATAACGGCACATAATAAGAACGTTATCACAGAACACGGGTTTTTCTTCAGAGCATAACTAGAATAGAACTTTCGTTGCGGTATATACCTCATTGATTTCATCAACACTTCATCAGTCGACTTACAAGAAGTTCTGTTAATTTGCTTGTACTATCATAGTTTATTTCCAAAACGGCCTATCTGTTCTATTTTATTCATAACTTTATTCATATCATCTTGTTTGTTTTAATTTATTCTTTATTATCAACACCACCGATTAGATCAGTTGAAATTGAGTTATGTTTTTTCAGTGAGTGTCCTTCGAGAGATCTGTTTCTTGGAAAACTAGACCAGTATATTTTTGCATTCGTTTCGAAATTTAGATTCATTGTTTTGAATTTTTTTATATTAATACAAAATACAGCACCAAATTTAAGATGACAGGTAATAGTTACACAATGTATCATGTTTAGTATCACATTTCTTGTCGGTAAAATTATATAAGAATATTTTCTCCCTCATTTTCTTTGTGTGATGTGTTGTATTTGCTTGCTGTGTGTTTGCTATAGGCCGTTTTGGAAATATTTAGTTTTATTTTTAAATTTGTTTATTCTACCCTAAACATATTGTTTTGTTTTTAACTCAGTTATAATATTATATTTGTTCATTTTAAATTTATTTAATTAAAAACATATATGGAAACTGTAATACTTTATGCAATTCTGACACATTTGTAAATTATTTCCGTTTATATATCTGTCTTGAATAGGTTTTGTAACAAAGTCGTAGACAATTTCTTTTCAAGTAGATTGATAATTAAGTATACGTATTAAGCCTGCTTTTAGCATGCAAATATATAGACAAAATCTGTGGCAGTCCGAACAGAGGATGAAAGCAGACGCTGCTACCGATGCTTTCTTAATGAACGGGCAATTATTCTCGTAGACGCATAAATTCCCGTAGCTTACGTGCTACCTACGCCAGCTACGACATGCTACGTGTCTAAAGAATTAAATATATCAGGTGGAACAAACCGAGCACATTGGGAGGATGTCACTGAGAATACACCGCTCACATTCGTCAACGATTGCGTATCCTTCACAACGACAGTCTCCGCCCGATATTGGTTGATTGACTGTCGTCATGTCGAAGACGCTACTAAAATGGCTACTGAACTGTACAGGTTAGTACACAAACACTTACACACAAATCTGTTTAATAGCTGTTGTTTTCTTCATGCCCTATAGCAGGTAGCTCGCGAGCACTTCAATAAATAAATAATATCGTGTCGTACTAACAAAGCCCCAAACATGTTATAAAAAGTTAAGTTAAACGATTTGGCCAATTGTTTAGTAGAAATACCAAAATTGGTAATTCAGGCCACGCGATAGCTTCTGCTGTGGCACGGTAATAGGCAGGTAAAGCATCTCACTCCTCAAAAAATTAAAAAAATTATAGATATACATGGGCGGTGGTTATCACTTAACATCACAGTATAATGTCTTATGGCATTCTACTTTGGGGAAATTCAGCTGACATAAATACTATTTTCATCCTGCAAAAGAGAGCTATTCGAGCGGTTTATAACCTGGGCCCCAAAGACTCACTAAGAAACCTGTTTAAAGAAATAAAAATATTGACTGTAGCTTCTTAGTACATACTTGCTAATGTTATGTATGTCCACAAAAATAAGAATGACTTTTCAAGATTTAGTAGTGTGCATGATGTAAATACTAGGAACAAGCATAAATTAGTTCTACCCTCAACTAGATTGCGTAGAATAAGTAAATCTTTTATGGAACCATGTATACGCTTTTACAACAAAATCCCAGAAAACGTTCAAAATGAATCCGTTGCTAAATTCAAAAAACTTGTAAAGGAACGTTTGTGTGTTAATGGCTATTATAGTATTAGTGATTATATGAATGATAACACACTCTGGAAATGAATTGATCGCTCCAGGCTCTTTCAAGTGGAGTTTAATAGGAGTTTAATAATTGTACACATGTTTGTAATTTTTTTGGCAAGTAAAAAAAATAATGTCCCGCTGAGTTTCTTACGCCGGTTCTTCTCAGGTCAGTGGCTTACCTTCCAAACCGGTGGTAGAGTTTTTTGACTATCAATAAGTAAGTGAATGCTTCTATATTGAATAAAGATATTTGACTTTGACTTTGACTTTGACATCAGGTGATCCATGTGCTCTTCTTATTTCTCTCTTATGTTACACATACAGTTCAGGTCTTTTCAAAGATATTTTTGTTTTAATATAAAAGATGATTTGTAATATCATAAATATTATTTCCAGCAATGAAAAGATTCGTAAACATTAACTATAGAGGCATTTTGGCTTAGTTCACATAATTATCTTCCAATTTTTTTTTTTTTTAATAATGTCTCAGACGTACAGATTTCCTTAGAATATTGTGTTGTGAATGTTCCAACGCCGATGTATTAGCACTTAAAACTGCAATTGACAATTTCATCGAGGACGATGTCTGAATTTGATGCGGAGTTGCTTGGTTACTGATTAATTGTAAGCGTGCGAACGGATAATGAAATGCGACGGAAGATAGTCATGCCTGCCTGTTTATTAGGGAGGCTATACATGTGCCTTTCATGGCGCGTTTCGTGGTGTACGCCAAACGAACGGACGAGTGCCAGGCGCAGCTGCGAATGTTCTGCGTCACCGACGACAAGGAGGACAAGGCCTTAGAGCGAATCGAGCGCTTTATCCAAGTCGCGAAGAGTCGGGATGTAGAGGTAACTTGGGACTACTGCTGCTATTGTAAGATTAGCACTGTTCAGTCGACCTCAAAGTATTAGTATTACCTGTCTTACGAATATATAAGAAAAAAAAACCGGCCAAGTGCGAGTCGGACTGGCAAATCTATAAGAACAGCGAAAAAAACATGTCTGTTGTATGGGAGCCCCACTTAATTTTTTTTTTATTCTGTTTTTTAGTATTTGTTGTTATAGCGGCAACAGAGATACATCATCTGTGAAAATTACAACTGTCTAACTATCACGGTTCATGACATACAGCCTGGTTACAAACTTTTGTTTCTGTTGTTTTTGCATGTATGCGACTCGTACGTGGAAGCACCAGGCCTCTATCTAGGCCTCTATTATATTTTTTTGTTTGACTGCTGACCGTGGTCTACTTTTTTCTAATATTGGCAACGATTATGCAACCTTAAATGTGTTGTAGTTAAAATATGTAGAAAAAGTGCGAAAAGATTGTCGCCATTGTGGGAATCGAACCCACGTCTTCGGCATTCGCGGCCTGACGCTCTAGCCACTGAGCTAAACGGCTGTGTTGTAGTTGTTCATGGGCAGCGATAATGAAATTTTATATGTGTTCCAGAATTGAAATAATTTCACAACATTATTATATTGACATTTTGTTTACTTGAATGACCCTTTCAAATAGGTTGTTCGATTTAATTTTACATATTTATTTAATTTTCATTGAAGAATTCGGTACGTCAATTGAATTAGAAAGCTTTAACATACGCACTACGTGAAATTAATAGCTGTAACAGGGCCACGTAACAGCCTTCTCTGTTGCACGAATGGGCAGGTCCATCCCGGTAAATACCACGTACTCACAGAAGACCGGCGTGAAGTGGAAGTGTTATATATACTTCGGCGTTTCGTCTGGTTAGTGAGGTAGCCGGGGCACACTTTATTCAATGCATCTGCAATCCTACGGGTGTTGCAAATGTCAATGGGCGGTAGTTGACACTTAACATCAGGTGAACCGCCAGCTGGTTTGCCACCAGCTCACATAAAAAAAAATTCTAAAAATTAACGAAGATTAAATAATTGTATTTGAAACAGGTGCATGAAGGGAAACCAGTGTACCTAGAGTTCGGCGGCAACTTGGTACCAGTTGCGAAATCAGGAGAACAGTTGTCGATACCGTTCCGCGCTTTCCGCGAAAACCGGATCGCGTTCCCTGTGATGATTAAGACCCAAGACTTGGAACCGATATGCCGCTGCCAGTTCATGAGGGATCCTAAGGTCCCTAAGGGAGAACCTTCACCTTCACCGGTGAGACGCAATATACTTTTCTTTAGCAAATATTAAAACCATTCGAAATATTAATTTGACAACATTTGAGAATAGTAATCTACAAAACATTGCGTGATAATAAAACAAAATCTTAAAAGTATGTCAACTCGTTAAAGACATACAGTAACTTTGTGTGACTCAAATGGTATATAAAAATGAGTAAAAAATACTGATACCTCAAGTCAATGTTATTTCAGATCGCAGTTCTAAATATCATGGTGCCTGACGATATCCCAGCTGAGAGGATATCTCCCATACAAGCTGATACTGTTCCACGTCGTACTGAAGAACAGGAACTCATATGGCAGCAAAGGCTCAGTGATCCGAGGTAGAAATTGAAGTACCTATTAAAGTACACGGATGCCCATTACAATTAATAGTGCCCACGTCTTTGGCCAACATGGCTAAATTATTTTTCAAATGTTTTATTGTTATTGCATATTGTATATCGTCTACATTTTTTCTACACGCAGTATTCTTTCAATAGTAGTCCCCAGAGTGTTATAATTATATTTCAACACATTATTTTATGAGGCGTGGCTCATAGTAGGAAATAGATAATAAATAGGTTTCAATTTTGCTAAGTTAAATAATTATTTAATTATAAAAGGTTGGAAGATATCTGTAACCTGCTTGGAAAAGACTGGGTTGCACTAGCCTATGAGCTCGGTGTCAGCGTTGCCACCGTTAACCAAATCCAAGCAAAGAGAATAACTGCTGCGGAACAAGCTCAACTCATGTTGAAGCTCTGGAAGACTCAATCTGGGACTAAGGCACTGGGTTCGTTCTTTTATTTATAAGTAGCAAGTAAGCATTCCCTATTTAACTGTTTTCAATAAGGAACGCTAAACTGCTAGCGTAAATTCGTGCGACCGGACTTTCTTTCTCTATTGACAAAAGTCTGTTAAAACTCCAAGGAACTTATACGACAAATGACTATGCAATAAGGAATCTTAAACATGAAACAAAAATTGCTTTCAGATAACTCATTAGAGCTGGCTTTATGTCGAATCGGAAGAGATGATATTATAGCTCCACAATCTGAAATTACTAATGAAAGACGTATCCAACGTAATATCTACCAAGAGAGGCAAGCTTCTGAAGAAATTGAAGCCTATAAAGGTAAATTTTACTTAAAACAATTTCCTTGTTATAAAGGATATAAAAAGACAAAACTTATATTTGGCTTAATTTGAAAGCAAACAATTTTTTTAATCATGTTTGATTTATTGTTTTAATTTATACAAGTTAGGCTATAGAGTATTGGTAAAATCGATCACTTTAAAACTTTATAATTATGTTATATAATATATTAGAACTTTATAATATTAGAATTGATACTAATAGCTTATAGACTTAAAAATTGTATCGTTCACCAAACTTGGCAAGAACGGTTATGTCCTTTCTATTTCGACGTTCTTGGCTACTTTCAAGTGTTGTTGTTGTTTTCTCTAAGAATGTATAAGACGGGAAAAATTATCCACATAAATGTGGTCATAGCGCGCTTCTGTAAAAATGTTTCAAAATACTTTAAATCACATTGTATTGAAGTTCATTAGGCTTAATATAACATATTATCCACACTGTATCTTCTACTTCCCATTTTTATAATTTTCGAATATAAGTATTCATTATTTTTCCTAAGAACTGTTAATATGGTAAATATTTGAAGTTATTTATATCCTTTTATAAAGCAGTAAATTTGTTTTTAATTTTCAGCGGAAGAAGATAATAAATTAAAGGAAAAAATAGACGATGACAATAATATTGCAGAACGATTGCCCAACGAATGTGAACTAGATCAGGACGAAGCTAAATATTCGCCTGAAGAAAAGTCATTTGTTGACAAAAGTGAAATTGAGAGAACACCTTCACTAAGCGAAGATAGCGAAGAAGATGAGGGTAAGAATTAAGAATAAGAATAATAAATTAATTTAGTTTTAAATAATAAACATGAATATAAGGATAAAATTGATGAGATACAACCAGAATATAAAAAATCTGCTCTCCTCTTTTAGATGTGAAACGCAGCGTAGCTGAGAGAAAAGAACAAATAACTAAAAAACTTAGTTCAAGCAAAATTCCAGCTTCAAAGCAGAAAAAAGAAATTCGTGAAGAGATTATTGAAATTAAAACTCAAATAAAACCAGATATAAAAAAATTCCACGGTATCGAACAACAGGTTAGATTTTTAATTACTTTAATTGTTGGGAAAAAAATGAGCCCCTGATATTTCAGTGTACAGTATACAGCTCGCCCTTAATTCAATATACTCCAGCAACATAAGTTCAAATATCGTTACCGGCATTAATGAAGGTTTTTCATTGCAATTTCAAGTAGGTACTGATTTTTTACGTGTTCAGTGGTGAAAACATGCAGAGGAAACCTGCTTATTAAAAAAATAATAATTAAAAAATATACTACGAATATAATTATATCAAGTGGGCTAATTCACACAAGGTTCGCATGATGGACTATGCCCTAATTCCTTCTATATAAAAGAGGCCTTTGTTCAGTAGTGGGACATATTTGACTGTTTATTCACTTTACTTTTTTCTTTGGAAAAAAATAATTAATACATTTCTAATATGTTTTTAAAATCTGCAGGCTAAGGATAAGGAAACTAAACCGGTATCGAAAACTCCATCAGAAACAGTTGAAGACGAGAAAGAAATTGTAGACACCAACGATTTATTAGAAACTAAAACAGAGGAAATAAAACCTGAAAAACTTGTAGAACAATTTAGAAAGTTTGACCCATCATCTCCAGCTAAACCGACACCAAAACATCTTCAGCGTCACATGAGAAATGAATCTATGAGATTTCCATCGGGAGACTTCTCCAACGTCACAATTACACCTCGTAAGACTATTACAGTTGAAGCTACGGAAACTCAGAAAGGAATTGATGTAAAGGCTGACTCGCACATGAAGGAAACTTTACTCATCTCACAAAAAGAAATAGATAGCGCAAAATTGAAAGAGAAATTAGATGATGGTGATAAATCTCCAGAATTAGTAATGGAATATACTGAAAAAGACATAGCTGAAGCACCATTAAGAGATAAAATAAGTTCATTCGAATCCAAAATATCCAAAGAACCCACATTCGATGCAACAAAAACCGTAAAATTGACCAAAGAAGCCTTAAAAAAACATACACTTGAACAAGACAGAAGCATTGAATACACCCAAGAATTCGTAAGAGATCAATCAAAACAAATATCTGTTGAAACACATAAACAGAGCATTCAACAAACTTTTGAAACTGAGAGACATATCGAAACTGTTAAATCGGTTAAAGACACTATTCAACATTTTGATATAAAAATAAAACAAGAAGAAAAAGCTAAGCCATTTCCCAAAACTATGAGAACTGACTCTACCCTTGTACAAGTGTCGTCTGAAGAGGATAGTGAGTTTTTGAAAAAATCTACCGATTCTGAAACTGAAACTGAATCACAGACTACAATAAAAATTGAAAAGGATAAACTAAAGTCAAAAATAGACCAGCAAGTATTTGATGAAAAGCCACATGTTAAACACGAAAGGGAAACCAAACCGAAAAAGGATCAAGATAAAATAGAAAAAGACCATGATCAAAAACCAGACGATGATAGTGATAAAAAGGATGGCGCAATGGTGTCAATCAACAACATAAAAATTGAAAAGCAACTGACGCAAGAGCTAAGAAGTAAAGTAAGTGAAGAGGAAATCACAGAAAATGTAGAGCTAAAAGAAGTTTCAATAGAAGACAAGGTAAAAGATAAGGTAATAGACATTAAAAAGATTTTTATAACTTTTTACATGCATTAACTTAATTGTCATTTAATATAGGTTGAAACACAAGGATCAATAGCAAGTACGAAATCTGACATTAGCAAACATACAAAAACCGATTCAATGGGTTCAGATGTACAAGGTTTAATCGGGCACAAGATTTCGCAAGATTCCCCGGCACAATCTGCTATAGAGAAAGCAGATTCAATCGCCGACTTACAACAAAGTACTGAAAAAGATGTGAGCTTTATTTCACAAACAGAATCTAAGGTAACACTGGCCCATGAGAAATATTTTTTATTAATTTACAAATTCTAGATAAATTTGCTCTAATGTTATTTTTAATTTTTAAAAGGTATACTCAAAACCTAGAAGCGATTCTTTGGACGAAGCCTCACAATTTTCCGATTTAGAAGACCAACTAGGAACAAGTCCTGCACATAAGCCTATTGCCGACAAAGAATTGTCAGATACAGCTTCTAAATACGAGGATAAAGTTCTTTCAGTTACTGTAGCTGAGAGTGAGTTTAAGACAAGCAAAGAACAAACAATACAATTCCTAAAATCAGAAATAACAAACGATACACTGTTGCCAACGCCATCAGTCACACTTAAAGAAACAGAAATGGTATGTCGAAAACATTAATAAAGTAGCTAAATTATGAAACTTTAAATCGTAGTCATATGGAAAACCGAAAACATAACCTACTTTATTGTTAAAATTAAGCTAAATTCGTTATACCTACATTGTGTAAGTTTACAAAATTTTATATAGAATCATAAATTGACTTAAATAATTACTTTTCATTCATCATCATACATCTGCTCGCTTGGCAACTTTTCACATTCATATCACATAAATCATCATTGACGGACGGTACCCAATATTTGAAATTTGTCTGCACTTCTCAAAATCGTATGTGTCCATCATGGTTCATTCAACAGAGGGATTGTAACAATATTAACTTGAATCCTGGTGGATGACCTTATTACATGTGGATTTTAGTGATTGTAACGAAAAACGTGTTGGTTCTGGTTGGTATATGAATTGAAAGTTACTATTTTTCCACACCTGGGTACCATGATGATTAGTGATACAAGTAGAAAAGTAAACTGCTGGACAAATGCCTCCTCTGTACAAAGAATATTAGGGCATAGTGTGTGCAATAAGCTCTTTAAAATCACATTTAACAATGTTCTATATAATAATGTGATAGAAATCATGTACACTATTTGCTGTAAAGGAAATAAATATTTGATGAAAATGCATTACAAATAAAATAGATAAGACGTCGAATTTTTCGTACTGTAAGAATATGGGCCACCCAGATTAGTGGCTAGAGCATCTAGACAAGTAATTCGTAAGGTGCTGGTTTGAATCCTGGCAGTGGCGAAAAATTTTGCGACAGTTTCACATTTTTAGTTTTTATTTTAATAAATTTTAGATAAAAAGTAGAAGAAAATTGTAGGTTTGAGTTCCATGGGCATAGTGTACATTTTGGCGGTCATAATGTGACTGTCGTTGAATTTATTTTTAGTTTCGGATCAAACACAATAATGAAAACATCGATTGCGGATGAAGGTCGTAAATGTCTTTATAACGGTCTGAATGACTTCCGAATAAAAATAGGAGTTAATAATCCTTACGTATTACTCGGGTTTACATGAATGCAAATTTTATAATCAACTGCCTGTGACCATTTTAATATAAGTTCCAGCCTAGAAAATTTTGCGCATACATAGTACACATAGATTTAACAAGCTTTTTCACAAGTAGAATGGAAAAATTAGTATATAGAACTCTTATAGAAATCACCCAGCACATCATAAATAATAATACATAATACATCATTTATGCCATTTCTGAGGTAACCACTTAGGTTGAGGTTTAATTGTTCCATGAGCCATGCAGTTAGTTATTTTAATGATTGGTTTTTATGAAACAAATAACAAATTTTACGCAACATTTTCAGACATCTCTTAAAGAATCGCCTGTTATAAGCGCTAAAGCAAGACAGTTTATAGAAACTGTCCCAGAAGATGACTCAGTACAAGAGTGTTTTTTCTCGAAACGTATTTATTCAGATTCCTTGGAAGATTCGGAACACACTGACTCTAGACGACATTCTGAAGCCGATTCATTAAAATCAGACCAGTCTGATTTTAAAGCTAAAGTTTCTTCATCTGACTTTGATGAACGAGCAGAATATGAAGAAACTGCAGATTCAGGCAGCGGGTTTGGTGATGAAAAATTTGAGGAAAGTGTAGGATTTACAGCAATAAAAATAGATCCAAAAGCTCTTGCATATGATAGGCGTGATTCTGATTCAGATAAAGTTGAAGAAACTGAAACAATATTTAAAAAAGTGGTACCAAAACGACATTCTAGGACAGAATCCATTTCTATTTCAAAGTTAAGTGATTTAAAACTTGACATTGAGTTGTCAAAGCCAAGCAAACAAGAGTTTCAAGTAATAGTAACAGAAGCGGAAGAAATAGACAAGTCTTTTGAAAGAGATGAAGCATCAGAAAAAATATCATCCGAAAGCAGTAGAGAAGTTGAAATATCCGACAGAAAGTCTTCAGAGGGTATCTCAGATAGGATTACTTCTGAAGATGCAGTAACTGATAAGAAAACATCGTCTGAAGAAGAGGTTTTGAAAGAAGACGAAAGGTTAATGGACCAAGAATCAGACAAAGATAAACAATTTACAATGAGTTTACAAAAAACAGATATTAAATCGACAAAAGAAGATATTGTGACTAAAGGTAGTTTAGTTAAGAGCAAAATTTGTAATAATTTTAATTCTGTTGCCCATTTAGATACTCTTATAAAATATTAAGAAATCTATCCCATGACCCATCATACTGAAACCAATAGAAAGTTAAGTTACTGCGCCAACCGTGCCATAAAACTGTTTGCGCGCACTGAAATCTTAAATTAAATGTTGCGATCATTAACAATGTCACATGAACCCAACAAAAAATAAATTTATTTATTTGGAATGACACTGTTTTATAACAAATTATTAAACACAATAATATAATTGTAATCAACAAATTTATAATCATCTTTTATTTTCCTTTTTTTTCTCAGTCGATGTTGAAAAACGCCAATCTGTAACATCTGCGGGTTCTAGTTCTATAAGTGAATTACGTTTGGAAGAAAAAAGACCGTCAGATGCTCACAGCCTTACAGAGTCAAGGGATTATACATTTGAAGAATCTGAAGATGATATAGCTACACAAGGCACCCATGTTGATATATTAAAAGAGAAGTCAGATACCAAAGAAGATAAAATATTAGAAGGCTCGGGTAAATCGGCAAATCATGTCTTAAATAAAGTTGCATAGTGTTTTTTAACATTGATCTATATGTTTCATTTTTTTGTTTCAGTTAAAGCCGTTGAATCATCGAGACCCTCAAAGCTGACACATGGAGACTCATTAGATGATGTAGAAGGATTTCCTGAAGATCATGCTGAATATGTTCACAAATTGCCACATATTTCTGAAACAGGGTAATTATGTAATTTTTTTTTTATGGAATAGGAGGCAAACGAGCATGTGGGTCACCTGGTAATAAGCGATCACCGCAGCCCATGGACATTTGCAACATCGGTTGAGTCGCAATTGCGTTGCCGGCCTTTAAGGAAGGAATAGGCTCTCTTCTTGAAGGTCTCTAAGTCGTATCGGTCTGGAAATACCGCTGGCGACAAATAGTTTATTTTCGATATAAACTTCTGAAAAGAATATTAATTTTAATATTAATTATGAAAACAATTTACAGATTACAGGGAGATAAGAATATTTTACAAGAATTAAGTAAAGAGCACCATGACCAATCAAAACAAGCAGATAAACCAACAACATACAAAACTATTACTAAAATCACTCAACCCTTAAAGGAAACCGTTGTAAGTGAAATTACGAAGAAAACAGTAGAACAAAAAGGTTTTATATCTCATGTAGTTGAATTTACCACTGAAAGTAAACATACAACATCAACATCAGTGTCTAAGCACACTGAAATAAAATCATTACCAAGTGATACGAAATTTGATGTCAGTAAAATAAGAACTGACACACTTGATAAATTTGATATTTTAAATAATACTAATGATGCCCGCGAAGAAAAAACACAAGAGCAGTTTAACTTCCAGGAAGAAGAGGAAATTACCAAAGAACGAATAAAACCTGTAATTGATGACATATTACAAAAGGGAACAACTGTCGCGACCGCTAAAAGCCCAGTATTAGAAAAAGATATTAAAATAATAACAAAAGAAATAGTTGAGTCTGAAAAACGGTCCTATGATGCAAAAGTTCCGCAAAAAGAGGAAAGAAGACATTCTTGTATTAGTCCAGCGATTTCACTCGAACGAATAGCAGAATCTGAGGTTGAAACAGAAGAAGATATATCAAAACCATTAAAAACCGGGGTTACTGAAACATTTAAAGAAGATATCCAAACGGGAATAAAGAAATCTGATTCAGCTATGAAACAAATGGCTGATAATATAGAAATTATTATTAAACAAGCATCTGAGGACGTAGATCTATCGTTTGAAGAAGTGCATTTGGTAGAAGAAATCAATGTTGAGAAACCAGAGGCACAAGACCTCGATGGAAAAGTTTCCGTAGACTCTATTATAGAAGAGGCGGTAAATACAGTTCAAGAATATCTAGAATCAAAAGACAAAGAAATAGAAGGGAGAATATTAGAAGAACACTTACAAGACGATAGTAAACGCTCTATAAAGGAAAGGCCAAGTTTAATGAAATCTCTTTCGAGGGATAGTGGTGAAGTTATTATTTTACCAAAAAAGAAACAAACTCGAACATTTTCTGTTCAAAGTTCTCCAGAAGAAGTTGAAGAACAAATATATACTGATTCAGAATCAGGTTAAATTTAACCGATCTCATAACTACGTTTTATTTTTGAATCGATAGGCTTTCATGTACTAAATTAACATTATTATATTCTTTCAGATATGGATAAAGCAAAAGTTTTAGAAATAATAGAACCTTCTTCTGACATTGATGGTAAAATTCCAATTTCCAGTTTTGATACAAGAAAATTAAGAACAGATTCACTTGATGACGCCGACGACATTCCAGATAAAGAGGCATATATTAATTTTGTTACAAATTTATATATTAGATTATATTTTAAAAGTATTTAAAAAGTTCTCATGTAAAACTTTATCTTTTAGGCTGAAGATTTTGCCGAAGAAATTAAGTGTTTTGATCAAGCTGAATCATTAAATTTAGCTAAAGAACAAAGAAGACGTGATAATCTTGAATCCCAAGTAGCGAGTACAAGTGCTTTGCAAATGGATAACGAAGACGAAAAGTTATCAAGTAAAATTGTTAAGAAAACTCAGTTTGTCGACAGCGTATTACGAACTGATTTGGTGTCCAAATCTACAACTGAATCTTCAGTTACAACAGTTATATCAACGTTAACTAAATCATCTGACGAAGATCAAAAATCAGTAGTGGAGGATGGTACATCAGCTGACTTTTCTAAAATTAGTGGTGCTGATTTAGTTAAAGATCTATCTAAAACTTCCTTAGACGGAAAAGAAGAATATAAAATAGAAGAACAACTTGAAGACAGAGTATACACGCCAGATTTATCCAAAAAATCCATCGATTTAACTAAAGATTATTCAAAATCCTCAATAGATAGTAAAGACACTTCAAGAGATTTTGCTACGAATGAGTTATCTAAAGATTCAACGGCAGATTTAACAAAAGATTTCTCTAAAGCATCTATTGAAAGTGTTAAAGAATCCTCAAAATCAATTGACGAGAAAACTTTTTCAGAGGATCATTCTTCATTTGACGTATCTAAGACTTTGGCATCGGATGTTTCCGAAGGAATCACGATGAGCAGAGAATTCTTAGAAGAAGAGAGATCATTGTCAAAAGTGATTAAAATATCTACAAGTTCCTCACAAGGAACCTCAGTTTTAACAGAGAGTAAAGTTTGTAGTGATCAAGAATCTTTTGGAAAAACAAAAACTTTAGAAAAACATTATGCTGACGTCCAGGAAACAAGTGATATTGAGAAAAACGCTTTACTTTTGACATCGAAGGTAGAGGAATATAGTGTATATGGTACTAATACTTCAATCAAAGGCGATGATGACGATAAAAATATAATCTCTAAAGAAGACACCACAGATGAACCCAGTAATGAAGAGGAAGATATGCCCGATATGAAAGAATTGAATAGACGGTGTTCTAACCTGTTGGAAGATATATCATCACAGGGCGCCTTAATAAGAATTGATTCAAGCCATGTCACACACGGTAAATCTATATATATAAATATATATATGTATATTGTAATGACCCATTGTTTTTTTATATGTTAATTTAGTATTATACTTATTTTTTTGAATTGAAACCCGAATGGCGTAGTTGGTAGTGTACCTGCTATCTGCCCCGAGGATGTGGGATCGATCCCCACTACTGGAAAAATATCGTGTAATGAACATAATGGTTTTCTAGGGTCTGGGTATTTATATATGTATAATATGTTTTTATTTACACAAAAAAGTATGTTTAAGTATGTTTATCAGTTATCTAGTACCCAAAGTACAAGCATTGCTTAATTTGGGACTAGAGAACGTTGTGTAAAAATGTATCTTAAATAGTTACTATAATCTTTACAGACTTGACCTCAAAATTTTCTAAAACACCACCACCATCTCCTGTTGATTTAATATTAAAAGACAAAGGCAAAATGGGTGACAACTCTGACGAAAAGCAAACCGGGATACAACTCAAAGGTACTTCGTTAAATATTTATAAAAAATACAAAAATCACAGTATTACGTTTTCATTAAAATCATGCTTTACCATGCTAGAAACTCTTGCGAGTAGTACGAAGAATTAGGAAAAAGGGACTTGGGTACTAGATACTTTAACGTATTCTAGCTAAATCAAAGGAATTTAGATTAGCAAAAAATAATCATAATATTGCCTAATAGAACATCTCAAGGTATACATATAAAAAAGTACCTAATATTAATGGAATATTTAGGTTCCGAAACTTCATTCCTGGATGCAAACAGGCAGTCACCTCGGGCTTCTTCTGCAGGAGATAGTGTATTAAGTGAAACAGAAGCCCATCAAAGTGGTCAGTATATTTCGTTACGTGTTAGTTTTCTTAAATACCTTATTTTAAAAATATTTCCTTAAGTAAGTTGTTGTGGTAGGGCTATGCAACAGTTTTCCCCGTAGCTCGAATGGGCATGTCCGTCCGGGGAAGTACCACGATCTCACAGAAGACCAGCGTGAAATAGTATTATACTTCTGCGTTTCGTCTGAGGTTTCGTAAGTGAGGTAGCCGGGGCCCACTTTAATAAAAGGTCCCAACGCATCTGCAATTCTAAAAGCATTGTATATGTCCAAGGGTAGCGGTTAACACTTACCATTAGGTGAACCGCCACCTCGCTAGCCACCTTCTCACATAAAATAGAATGTAGAATAGAGGGTAGAATTTTATAACCGTACCTGAAGGGTACTAATACTGGAGTAGCCAAATTTACTGAAATAAAATATTATTTTATTTTTGAAAAGAAGCAGAACTGCATTCAAAGAATTTTGAAAATAGGCTGCCAGACCAGGGAACAGAAACGGATGAAAGCCAACAAAATAACGTCCATTATTTTTATCGCATAAACTGATAGGGTCTGTATAGAACTGAGTAAGTAGTTAAATCCAAAAGTTAAAATTACTCGAAATGAATTCCATAAAGAAAATATAATCAATGCATTCCCTTTTTTTTAATTTATAATGCGCATGCGCGGCTATGTAAAATATTTGAATCCAAATTTGATTCTTGTTTAAAAATAAAGGAATATTTCTATTGAGTGAAATTTGCTATCTCCTGTATTAAGAGTACTTTCCCTGCAGGTGTAAACTAATATTAAATCATAGAATTAGGTGGTTTTTATCTGTGTAAGAATAAAGTGAGTAATTCAATATACAAAAACTCTTTCAAAATATTGCTCGTTAATAAACTTAACAGGTCAAGCCAGTAAAGTAGTGGCAAGTAGAGTCATAGCGAAACATTACCTTTAGAGTTTACATTCAGCAATAAAAACCATAGTTTGCCACACAGTTTATTTTTGCCAAGTATCAGCATGTATCTCTCACCAACACGTAGTTGAATTTTTTTAAAAAACTTTAGATATATTCTTTTTAAACATATAGTATGTCCCAATGTTTTACATCGTATCATTTAAATTGAAGAACATAGTCTTTTATTTGCAAACGTTTTATCAATAATACTAGCACAGTAAATTTTACTTTCTTTCTTGCGGAGCCCTTACGTTGCTTTAGGTAAGTAAGAACCTACAGCAGAAACAACGCATCATCTTTATTGTCGCTTTCAATTAATTTATGAAACTATTTTATCCTTAAGTCACGGTCTCGTTTTCCATTTCAACTTTTTCTTAAAATTTACTTTTGAGTAACGTTTCGCTTTGATTCAGTCAACTCCTTTATTTGGTTTACCATCTTGCTCATCAATTACGCTTAAACCATTTCTATGTCAATATCTAATTTATCATTTTACAAGACGATAATGTTGCTGACATTAGCTGTCTTTCTTATCGGGATATAAAATAATATATCATTTGCTATCATTATGTCATGTCACAGTGTCATGAACTGTAAATATACATATACGTGTTACTGAGTTCAATCTTGAATCTTTAATTTTCTTTTGAAATTATTATAGTGATGATATTATATTTATGAGTGGTACTTGATTAAAACACTGAACGCAAATAAACCATACCATGGTGGCGTGGGGCTTATAAGCCGTACCGCGAGGCGGTTTACGGATGCAGACTTAGTTGAACTAAAAAATAAGTTCATTTTTGTTTGACGGCGCCAGATAACTATCAGTGAGAGTTTTGTTGCTATTTATTAACTATCACTTGTATGAACGTGCGGCTTCCGTGTTTTATTAGCGTTCACTGAATTAAAAAAATTTTTTAACAAATTTTTCATGTCAAAATTTTCTTTTTTATTCCAGAAACACTGACTGAAGCGTCGAAAGTACTAAGTGCGGCTTCAAGACCCAAATCACCAACAAAACACCTATCGGATAACCTATCATTTATTAATGTAGATCAACCAACTATTACCAGTGGAGCTATTGAACTTGTTGATCGTACTATTGAGAAAAGTATAGACGTTATCGATCAAATAAAAAAAGAACAAATTGCCGTCAAAATGGAAGAGATGCAAAGGTTGATACCAACCGATAACTTTTATTCGAAGTCAGTAGTCGAAACCTCAACCTCATCGTCATCAATTCATAAAACTGTAGAAGGTGCAGAATTAAAATTTCAAAGCATTGACCCCGAATCAGTTATGTCAGATATGGTCGCTAAACTTGGCAATGTGCAGGATGACTTTAGCACGATACTATCTCACAAAGAAACTGAAACCAGAAAAATCTCTGGACAAGAGTTTTACTCTGAAACCAAACATGTTTCATCGTCCGATGATGACTCTCTGGTAATAAAAACGGAAACAAAGCATGAGTTAAGAGGCCAAGAGCATGAAGTAAAACAAAAATCTACAGTGCGAAAAGATGGGGACCAAACAGAAACGTTGGAAAAGAAGTTAGAGAAAGCACATGAAGCAACAGCAAAAAGATCGGATGTCGAAACGAAAACAGTCTTTAAGAGCACAGATGATACTGATATTATTAAAGTGGAACGAGAATTTACAGAACAAGGCCTCTACACAGGAAGGCAGACTAAATCAGAAGAAAAAATGACTGCTATTAAAGACGAAACCGTAAAAAAAAAGCAAGAGGTTAAAATTTCTGAAAGGGAGATGTCCCATGAACAATGGGGCAAAGAATATTTTACTGAGCCTGGAGAACTAGAAGATGTTCAAGAAACTGACGAAAAATCTCGGGTAGCTTTTGTTGATTCATCTTTGAAAATCATTGAGAAGGATGAAGTAGTCTCTACAACAGAAATTTCTGAAAAAGGTAAGGTAGTAAGCACAAAAGTAGAACATCATAAAGAAGAATCAGTGGTTGAAAGTAAAGATCATGATGACTTGAGCTCAGAAGCTTCTCATGCACCAAGTTTTAGAAGTGATTCTGCTGGGAAAAAAGATTCATCGGAAATAAGCCCTAAAACTAAGTCAAAATCATTTAAAAAAGATAATGAAATATATGAAGTAGATTTTATTAAAGAAATTAAAGTATCCACTTCACCCGTTAAAAGTTCGTTTAGCAGAACAGGTAGCCAAGATACTCAATCAGAATCAGAAATAGTGCCTGATTTACCTCATGATGATAAGGCTAGTGAAACGCCAAAAAAAGATAAACAAATTAAGTCACCTGTAAAACTTCAGCAAGATCAAATACAAGATCAGGTATTGGAAGTTTCTTTACACAAGGTAGATTCTTTCGTTATTGGTGACATTGAACCGCATTCCTCTAAAATTAAGCGTGTTATTGAAACTAGTCCAATGGTTCATAATACCAAAGGAGTTGACACAATCGAAATAAAACCGCATGTTAAAATAGAAAGCGAAATATCAACTAGTTCCGTGACAATGGGCGTAATAAAAAATGTTGTAGAAACAGAAAAAGCTGAATGGGAAGATTCAACGATAACAACATCTAAAGATATGATGATAAAATCAAGTGAAAGTGTAGACACTGAATACATGATAAAATCCTTGGAGTCCCATGAAGGAGAAATTTTACAGAAATCATTGGATTTCACGGTTAGTGCAGAAACATTGCAACCATCAGAGTTTTCAACTGAAGCCGACTCTGCATATTTAACAGGAACAGAACAAAAAAAGGAGGAGTTAAAATTGGTTAAAGAAAAAAGTTTGGAGGACATTTGTAGCAGTGGTTATGATACTGATCTCTCTTCTGCCGAGTTTCAGGCTATGAAATTTGAAACAGAAAAGGTCGATTACGATAATTTGATATCTAAACAACCTCTTACTGACTTATCAGTTTTAGAAAAAACTATCGATGAAGTCAAGCAGTCTCTTGAAGCAGCGCAGGTAGAAATTATAAGCGAAAAAAGTGATGGAAGCAGCAAATACAAACAATCGCCGTCTGAATTCCAGTTTAAAATTCTAATAAGTCCCCGAAAGACCCGAAGTTATCACCGAGGAACCGCACCACACAGATGACCATTTGAGAAAAAATTTTACTGCTGTAGATAAAGAAGAAAAACTTATAGATAGCCAAAGATCTGACAGTGTCTCTCAAAAAATTAGCTCCCAGGAAGAGACTACAACTTCGGAGGAAGATAAAGATACTGTTCAAATTAAAGAACCGAGTCCACCTTTAGATTCTAGCGATTTATCAATAAAATCAGATAGTGGACCTCATTCTATTTTAGAGACAGAAAGCGAAGTTTGTGTTTCTGACCGAGATGGATCTTTAAAGGGAAGTCCTGAAGTCAAGTTACGAGTTCATAAACACATTACATCTAAATTAGGTATCGTTGAGAGACGTTCAGCGTCTGAACTCGAAGGCTGGTCTAGTTCGGGTGAAAGTCATTACCATAGCTTTGAACACTCTGAGAGCAGACCCTTATCTTCAGACATAGAAGTGATGCTTACAGCTCAAAGTGGAACTGAATTTGATACTGCACTTACGAGCCATGATGTTTCTTCTCAATCACTTCGAACTTCTAAAGATTACTTTACAGCGGGAAGTTCGCTTGCTTCAAGAGACAGCATGAAAAGCCTTGACTCAGACGGATCTAGTCATCTAGCATCTATTGATATTTCAGATGCTTCAGAAACCCTTGTTCCTTCGGCGAACGAATTAAAAGAGGAATTAATGGAGAGTAGTACCTACGTGGAGCAATTTCTTCATGAAGCAGAAAAGGAAGGAATATCTAAAACAAAAGATATCAGTGATGAAGAAATTTCTGGCGAAGATGAAGAAAATAAAGATGACAATATTGAGCCACTTGGCAAAATGAAAAGATCTCATGAAATGCGGTTTCAACCGAAAGAAATGATTCCAGAACATTTTCCTTTGGAAGGAACCTCGGAAAGTATTGACTTAGACGATGATTCATCTAAAGATAAAGAAGGATCTGATACCACGATTTCTAGTCAACTTAAGACTGATGAGATTTTATCGTCATCCATTTCTAAACTAGATGCATCATCATTACAATCACAGCATGAAAAAGAGGTGGTAGAAGAGGACCTAAAAGAACAAATAATTGTAAAACATATACGGGAAGAAGAGGCTACGCCATTTCCGGTAACCAAAATAGACAAACCTCCACGAAAAATGGTGGATGTTGATAGTCAAATTATACCGGTCGGCTCAACAGAATATATAGAAATAAATAAATTTGGATCTGTAACAACACAAACGAAAAGCACTGCTGAAAGCCCGGTAGTTAAGACAGAAATTCAAACGCAAGAAAGTACCCCAAAAGAGAATTGGGAAAAAAGTGAAGTCACGGAAGAATGTATAAAAAAAACTGTAACAGAAGTAAGTGCAGTACCATTCCCTATTACAGAAATACCACCAAGTCAAAGAGAATTTGTAGATTTTGAAGCCGAAATTATACCTGTAGGAACAAAGCAATATGAAGAAATATCAAAATCAAAAAGTGACTCCTCAGTCCCCAAAACGAAAGCTGAAAAAACCAATATAATAATGTCTGAAAGTCAATTAGAAAGCAAACAGAGTTCTACATCTAGCTTAAAAACTCACGAACACATGTCCACTCCACATACACCTTTGTCTGCCCCAAGTCAAAGCTCATTATCGACAGAAAATGGTCGTGAGTACGTTTTAGATGACATTTACGATATCTCGGAAACACCTGAACTAAAATCAGAAATAGCAAATGAAAGCAGTCGATCAGAGTTAGTTGTGACGACTGAAGAAAAAACGTTACGTTCGCTTGAGAAGGAACAAGAGTCTCCAACTAGTGATGAATTTGAAATAGTTGACAAGCCGAGTGAAATAGACGATTTTGTTGTAATAGAAGAAGTTGCTAAAGAGGCCCAAGAAACAGACCCTGAGGGAAAAAGCGTCAAAATAGTATCTCATAAGTATGTAAAACGACACGATGATGAAGTTGAAGAATACCTATCAAAAACTTCTAAGAAACAAGATAGTAGCAGTGCATCAGGATCCTTATCCGATGAAGAATTGCTTCAATATGAAATAGAACAAAAAAAGCTACAAGCTCAAGAATTAGCTGAAATAGAAGCTGGTAAACGATGGATACAGATGCAATTTGAAGGTGATCCGAGATACGATTATGAAAGAATACCACTTGAAGACATTAAAGAAGAAGAAATGACTGATTTCGATGCCAGTAGAATTGGAAGTTTAAGTTCTCAAAAAGAATCTATTGGAAGTTATGGAAGTTTCAGAAACTCTTACGGAAGTTTATCAGAATCTGAAATGGCTTCTCGAATTAGATTCAGAGTACGCGGAGAGAACGATGATATATCTATAAGTTCACTACAAGAATTCGAAAACTTAGAAAGAGCTTTAATGGAGCAATATCAACAGCACTCATCATCGTCCCAAGATTCTCTAAATGGATCTTTACCCCGAAGATACATACTTAGCAGGAGTCAAGGTGATGATATGTCTGTGTCCAGTCTTAAAGAGTTTGAGGGATTGGAGTCTGCTTGCTTAGAAGCTTTAAAAGCTGAAATCCTTGCGAAACAAAAAGAGGCCCTGTTACAAGCTGATCCCAAGATAGCGACAGGGAGCTTCTTAGAACAAGAAAAACGGTCTTACAGCAGTAGTTCTGACAGTAGCCCTCCATTAAAAAGTGGAAGTCCAGGGCAAAAAACTGGGAGCCCATCCCAAAAAGGTGGAAGCCCTTCGCAAAAGATTGGCAGTTATGGTAGTCCATCCCAAAGACTTTTAGCTGATTCAGCTGCAATTAGAAAACTTATTGATCAACAAATGGCATTAGAGCAAAGAATTCAGGAACATATGACACCAAAAATTGTTACAGTACAAAAATATGATGAACGTGGTGCATTTTTTGTGCCAGTTCCTGAACGGGAAACTTCTGAAGATAAGATAACAGAAGCTGTTGAAGAATGTAAAAAGTCGTCTTCATTTGTATGCGCTGCGGCTCCCAGTGATGGTTCTGCGGAGTCAATACCTGGAGATTGCGAAGAAATGATGAAAATACTAGATCAAGAAGAGAAAATTAAACGGCATCAACAGCAACTTCAAGCTATCTCTAGAACTTTTTCAGAGAGTGGCGGGGTAATTGAAGTAGTTCGAACAACGACTGTAATCCAACAAAGATTTGTTGACGGCAAAAAGGTGTCAGAAACGGTTACGAGCATGGATAACGATGGTGCAGTTGATATACCCTCAAGACCGTTGCAATATGATGACAGTTGCATGTCGTTAGGTTCAGAAATGTCATCCTCATTAGCTTCACAACCTTCAGAAATGGACAGTTTAATGACGGTAATGGAGAAACACTCAGACGGTGACACCATGACGGTTACAAAACACACTATCACTGCATTGTCGGACAAGCCTGAGGACCTGGATTTCTCTCGTGAAGGGAGCTCTATACGGGAGCTATCACCCTCCTCCGGGAGGTCGGTAGCTCACAGCGTCACCTCATACTCTGGCAAACACTTTACAGATCCCGCTAGCGGCTCATGGAGCTGTCAAGATGAGGAGCTGAGCTCTTCGGGAAGTTTTAGTAGGTCAGCACTCTTAATTCTTAATCAGATAATTATATTTATTTTTTAAAAATGTAACTTATATTAAAATCGTAGTTTTGATGTTTATACACACGAACGATAATAACTTTCTTCTAAATATGTCCATGAACGTAAACTGCTAAACGATAACTGGTACGACATTAAATATTTTTTTTATCAAATAGTGTAACAAATCGTATAAGGATATAAAAAATCTGAAGTAATTTAATAAAATCACTTGCAGTTTCTAAAGGTGTGTAAATGACAATAAAATCCTTTTAATTGCATAATAATTCTGATCAAACAGAGGAGCTCGTGCAGACTTGATGCTGGGTAGCACTGACAGTCTGGAAGCAACAAGTTCTAATGCAACAAGAGCTACATTTAACTACGAAGTTGATACGCCAATGACAGGAAGTCTTACTTCTGGAGGTAAGTTTTTTCGTTTTAGTAATAACCAATTCGCTATAGAAATTTATTTACCCCATTTTTCGATTGGCAAAACTAGGCTGTCTCACCGACAATAATATTCGTCTCTTAGGAACTGATTAAAATATAACAAAAAAACTCAAGCAATATTAAGATTAGTGTTCGGACGCCCGAGTTTAATTAAACATATTTAGGCAAGTCTAACTCCAGAACTCCTATCCTTGTCTATAATACCGATACCGATGCCTATAAACCTGTTCGGCGGTGAACGGAAAACGTGAGGAAACCTGCTTATCTCCAAAATAGTAATAAACGAAACTATTCGGTTAGACAAGAAAAGTCCTAACCTCGATAGAAAAGATGGTTAGAGATAATCTTCAGCTTCAAATTCTGTTGTTTATAGAATTAAAAGCAAGCACATCAATTACTCTGTCTGCTCCACTACCATGAACGTTGAATATTGTTCCAAACATTGAAAAAACGCGATAAAATTAATTCATTTAATCATGTCGAGAGCCATGATTGCTCAGTATCGCTGCGCTCATTTTTAATTCATTATAAGCATTCTATGTTCAAATACCAGTGTTGGCACTTAATTTTAAGGCTTAAAGCCTCACGCGCTCAGCGGTGAAGGAAAACATCGTGACGAAACCGGCATGTTATCGAAATGATAACAAAAAAGTATATATTATAATATATGTGAAGTCCGCTAATCTCATATAATAACCATAATGTCCATAATATCCTCTGTACAGAGGAGGCCTTTGCCCAGCAGTGGATCATATATAGGCTTTTACTTTATGCTACTTTTTAATTTTACTTTTTACTTTTATGTCTTCGCATTCACACAAGTAATAAATAATTTTATTTCTATGATATGTCAAGATATAAATTACTTTAGAAATAAATTTGTATACATTATTTAATATAAATATAAAAAATGCATAGTAAATAACATTCATAAGGAAGATATGAGTATTAATCGAAAAAGCTATTCAAAAAATTTTGACCATAATCAAAGCTCGCTACCATCCTCGCTTTATAAAAAATAGTTTTTGTATCCAGATACAATTTGTGGTAAAATACTTTTCACAAACACTATTACTTTAAATACTAAGCCTAGATCGATGTACATTGGTGAAACTGGATACAAAGTCTGTATAAAGAAACGTTTTATTCATGTTTTTTTTTTTTTAATATTTACATATTGCTATCCCACCAAGCTTGATACTAATCAGAAAGATAACAGCGGTACGCCCTCCAGGGTCCAATACTATGGTCTCATCCCTGGACACACTGGACCCAATTACCGCAGTACAAATGGAGAGTTTGGAGCACCAATCCAGTGAACAACATTCTCATGACTACGAAGTACAACCAGACCAAGATACTGAAAAATTAGTAAGTTCGTCTTTATTTGACACGGTCTAGTAATTTTGGGTTGGAGGTTTTTCATTACAAGTTTTAATGGTTAAGTTGCGAATATTTTAATAAAGTATTACAATATGTACGAAATGTACATATTGTAATACTTTTGAACTTACTTACGAAATGTACATATTGTACATTTCGTAAGGTATTAATGAGACAAACTTTAGTCTCCAGACAATTAATTACCTGTGGCTTCCTTTGATTATTATAGCAATTCTGAGGGATGGGCCATAATTGTCAGGAAAGGAAAAAAAATGTCAAATAAATAACTTTTTAGATACGTCTACCTTAGTTTATTGCGATTATTGCTTTTCTTTCAAATATTGCTATCTAATAATCGTTATGCATGCGCCAGTACTTTGTCTGCACCGATACTTATTTCGGTTTCAAAGTAAATGTTCATGCGAATATTTAACTCGTCCATAAGTTTCACGGTTACATTTCAGGATGCCGATGGACGGACACCAAAAGCTAAAGAGCGTACAATAATGTTCGATAGCACTGATACTCTAAGTGTGGTCAGTGCAGACAGCTCAGTTAGAGAAGCGACAATTGAAGCACCGGCACCCACGTTCTACATCGGCGATACACCCATACTAAGGGGTAATAATTTCCTTTTCAATCTTATCCATTGAAACAGAAAGTTCGCACCCATAAATTAATTACTTCACAACCTTGTTTTAAATGTCTTCAACTATTCAACATTACCTGTACTAATTATTATTTAAACAATACTTTCACAATGCAAATGGAACTAAAAAAATATTTTTATATAGTGTTTAGGCTTACTACGTAAGGCTGATCGAAATATGACCACGAAAATATTAATAATAATATTACTGCATACCCTAACAGAGTTTCTCCGAAATATTGTATTCTTCGTGTTGTACATAACTTCTGAATTCTTGAAGTTTTTAAATGTCTCCTTATAATCTTACTCAATATTTTTTATAGTATTACCAATAATATACTTTTGAATTTTAATTGAATCAGGAGAGAAAAAAGAAGACGACTCTCCGCAACCCGTTCTCTCAGGGAGCTGTCCAGCATCATTGCCCCCTACAACTCATTCTTCTCCACCAATTCCAGCTCAAAGAAGGTAATTCACCCCCTTTAGTACTATACATGTCATCTTCTTCCAAACAAGCTTTTTTTTTGTTTAAAATACGATGAGTTTTCATTGTTTCATAAACATTTAAGTTATCGCTTATTACTGTTTCTTGGTACATATTTATTTATATTCCACATTGGAAAGCTGAAAATAAATGTGCTCACTAAAAGTATGTTGTCATTGCAGCTGCTATTGTTTAAGTCACTCTCGAGAAAAGACCGACAAATAGGTACACAGTTTACATAGTACTTGCTTGTTTGTTTTCATTTGCCTATTATATGACATTATCATTATACATAAAACGCTGCTTTTTATCGTCTTATAGTCCAATTATTATTATTATTTATTTTAAATATTTTTTTCATTTTGTGGAAATTGCTATACATTGTATCTATGGCATGTCGTTTGAGTTTGAAATTGCCACAGTGGAAATTTTGTCTAGAAAGTTCCTGAACACTTTTGTTTCGATCAATTTTGTTAGCCATATAATAAACTGACTAATCAATATTGTAGATTTTAAATACAGGGCAAAACGTTTAATTATAAATAATGTTTTAAAATTGTTATCATAAATTAAAGTACCTACCCAGTTGTAAATATTAGTACAAAGCTATAAAAGACAAGTGATAAGGATCAAAATTGACAAGGAGGATTTATTACTAAAAGAAATTAAAATCAGAACGCATGTTTAAATCCACGTGTTCTGTAACGATATAAAATTTAAATAAAACATTAATTCCATAATAATCTAAACGAGCTCCTAGACAGTGTTTCCACAAACATTTTTGATTAATTTTATTTTTGAAAATATAACATTAATATAGGAAATCTTTCTTTTCAGATCTCTCACAATGATAGCAAAATCGCCTCTGTCGAGTCTCGAAGAAGTCGCTAAAAAATAAAGTTCCATCTTTTAATACTTCATCGAATAACTCATAGATTTGATGTCTTCTTTTTCATTGTTATTATGTTGTTATTATCATCAAAGTTTTTTTCTTAATTATATCTTCAGCCTAAGCCTTGACTATAAGCACAGTAGGCTGTTATATATATGTATATATACAGCGGCATGGATAATTCGAAACTACGAAAAATATTTTGAATCCTATATGAAATTATGACGATAAAATATTTATTTAATGACCACTGCAAATACCTTACGGTAGGCCATTTTTCGAATGATTTTTTTTCATACACAATAGTTTAAGACAATGCATTCATTTAAATCTAAAGAAACAAGCGTATTAACGCAAAACACGACTATGTTACTAAAACATTTTTCAACCTGCTGTGAAATTTTGAACATTATTAACATTGACAATGACAACCACTGACGGATGTGGCTAAGTAATAGCTGGCCACATTTGATAGTAGTATTTTGGTACTCCCTTTTGTACTGAGGCGTCGACTTTTAGACGCTGGTCCATATAACTTCGACCTCCTAAACACTTAGATAGACGCTTAGCTTAATAGTTTGAAATGTCGCTTGATCAATGATATTATCACACTGTAGTGCGTCTGTTTTATAAAAGGTTCGATTGGGTGAATACATGTGTTAGGTTTTTGATATGAGACATAAGAAAACTGTTTGTATTTGATACATGTTTCCCGCTTCCCTGTAACAAATAAGATTGATAAGGAAGGAGTCGATTTCAAGTCTTGCACAATTTCTGAATAAGTAGCTAGGTAGACATACAAATGGATAGATTAAGACTACTGCATGATTGCTACGGCCAACTTTATTTAGGGGCATTAAGACGGACTGCTTGCGTTACTTATATTTCTAACGTACATCATAAGTTTTCAAAACCGTTATCTCGCGTCACTTCAACTTCGCGCCATTTAAATCTCTTCATGCGGCAAAATATAACACTTGCTCGGAGTACCTATGACATATTCCTTCTTATGTTTTCCTTTTTAATCTATAATACTTCTAAGGTGTATTCGTAGATTTAATTACGTTTATTTATTAATAAAAAACATTAATGATAATGTGGCAAATATTTTAGTCCCTTTGAAGTTTCTTTTGTAGTATGTATTTCTTAATTAGTATTTGTTATTCTTCATTAGGATCTTAAATGTATATTTTACATTAAGATATTGCATTTATTGCTAAAAGCTTTAATAAATTAGGCTTCATCCATCCAAATTGTTGGTCGTAGACGATTTTAACTGAGGATATGGCGTCGTAAACGTTTAATTTTCGATAAAAATAGAATGATCTTTATTATATACAATATTTTCGACGGTGGAAAGAGGAAAGTAACAGGATTCGGCAGATTTTGGCAGGGGTGGTGGCCGATTAATAAGATCTAGACATGTATGTAGTTTTACCAAACGGGTTAGGTAATAGCCACGCGGATTTCATGTTAACCACATCGTTTTTGGCCCCGTAATTAAGTGATCATGTAATACCATTGCTAGTATATTTATAAATATAGTTAGTCTACGTTACTAAGGATCGATGTGCTTAAATTATCGGTGTTGATGGACGCCATTTTGCGGGCGATTCTGCTGTATTAAGTTTCGTGTTCAATTAAGTTGCTTTATTCAATTGTTTCACGTTGTATTTGTAATATTGCTGAATATTCTATCTATGAAACAAAATTACTATTGAATATTGAATAAAATCGCTATGTCTAATATTAAAACACGGCTGTTTCATTTGGCGACCCATTGATGAACGATCGAGGCAAAACTACGGGTTGACCAGTTCAAAACTTAGAGGAAATAATAACTTATACTAGCTCTCTATAAAATTAAATTACTTCAAAAGAATTACAAAAGCACAGAATGGAATTTATCTAAAACCTATCACAACTAAGTACTAAAAGTACGAAACAAAAAAATTTTTTTTGTAAATATTTGGCAAACGAGCATGCGGTTCACCTGATGATAAGTGATTACCGCCACCGGTTTTTGTCAACCACGCCTGAAATAGTATGTGTGCAACTGGCTCTTATAACTCTAAAATATGCTCTAAAAGTCAACTGGCTTTATAACTTTTAATTACTCTCATAAGAAACATTACTTTGTTCATGAGCAGCAGCTGTCACTTAACGTCATGTACAGCTTCGGCGGAAGAGGTCCGCGGGCAGACGACCCACGGACTCGGGAGAACAACGTAGTTGGTGCACGACGACGACAAGAAGACGCCGTCCGCTCCGCTGCACTCCGCAACACGCTGCTAACGAAAGATGGACCATCGACTAACAGGGGTGGCACGACACGATCCAAGGGCCCCTCGAATGGAGGTTCGAACCTCGGCTTGGATCGCAATCGATGCGGACCTACCCAGAGGAAGGAATAAGGTTAAATTGCTATTTAATCCCGAGACGTATTGGCGTTGCGCTATCGCTTATGAATGAATAATTATACAAACAATTATTAGTGAGAGCAATTTCTTTACGAGATTTGTTCATCTTTATTAAAATGTGTTAACGGTGTTAACAATGTTAATAAAACAATGCATTCACGAAAACATCGTCTAAAAAGTAAAGGTTATACAATCCCCTTAATACATTCTCTCTACTAAACCGTCGAAGTTCGAAAGGAAGATTGAGGCGTCGTCCGCAGCGGCCGTGAGAATGGAGGTTTGTTGTAGCACGACCTGCGTCATCAAGCGTAACTCTATCGACCCACGTAGGTTCTCTATAGCCTGCGGGTCCTTGAGCCCCCCAGAGCCCTCTAGTTTGACCTCGAGGCAAGGCCAGTCCACTACGTTTTCAATCGGAATATACCAGACTAACGCAACGGATCTTTATGCGGTTTTTTTTTACTAGATAGAATGTGATTCAAGATGAAGGTTATTAATATGTATAATACATTGCACCCGTGCGAAGCCGGGGTGGTTCGCTAGTTGAGTATAATTCATGAATGGATTCTATCGTTGAACGAGACCTGCTTAAGAAAGATTTGTCCCTAAATATGGGAAGAGAAGGCTATTTTTTACTGTGGTAGGGTCACGCATAGGCAGGCTTGTCCGGTGAAGAATAACGGCCTCGCAGATGACCGGAGTAAAGTATATACTTCCGCGTTTCGTCTGGTGGGTGAGGTAACCGGAGCCCACTTTTTTAACGGTTGGGAACGCATTTTCCACCCCTAGGCCTTTGTAGGTGCCAGGGCGGCAGTAATCACGACAGTAATAATGCAGTCTATTCAAAGAACTAAATGCTTATAGTTCATAAAACCGACGAGATTGTATAAAAACAATGTCTCTGAAATGAATGCAGAATCCATATACGGTATTAATAATAATTAAAATAAAAATGCAATGAAATTCGCAAAAACAAATTTAATTAACAAATAAATAAATAGGACTAATAATTGCCTCTTAGTGCATTTACAGACTTAATTTGTCATGATTGATTAAAATAAAACTTAAATAACTTAAATGAATAATATTTTGTACAAAACAGCTATGAAGCACAATAAGTCTATGAATTGAGGAAGAGTTAAGCGCCAGGAATTGGATTGTCTAAAAATGAAAAAATACTAAATCCGTAATGCCACATCAGTAACAATAAACCAATATAAATTTAAGATACTCTTAATTTTTTCTAAACTTTAATCAAGAATAATTTAAGCATATATATACAACATTGGCACCACATTTGCACATAAAATTACTACGTCATCTATCAAATTGACATAAAAATCATCCAATCTGAGAGAAAATAAACTTTTGAATACAAAACACTAAAGTTGTATGTAGTATGACTTAGCGAAATCAAAAAGCTCGCACTATTATGCATTATCTGAGCGAGCAAGTTTCGCTTGGCAATATTCTGTTCTTTTTTATGTTTAATCATGTTTTATGGTAATACGATAATAACAATATACAAGCTCCATCTCAGAAAGTTTTTAGGTATCAGTAGGCTAGTTACAATAACAATAATGCAAGTCACGAGAGGGCGATCTACCGATTTTAATAAAAATATTTATTATCTCGTTTTTCTTGGAAAATTTTACCCAAATCGTGTTATATATAGGTACAATCGATATTTTTCCGATGTAAACGAAATTTATGTACATACTAATATGCACGTATGTATTTTCCTGTTTATTTTCTCATGACAGATTTAATAAGCGATCCATTTTATCATTTGGAATACATAGTTGACTTTCGGCGACACCATATCCGTGGGTGGTGGAATATGTTGATAGATCGGTAGTAGTGAATACTGTTTTATAGTAGCATATAAACAATATTTTTAAAACAGTATGAATGTAATCGGATTTTTAAAAAAAAAAAGCTTTTAACTAAACTAACGCACTGTACTCATTAACGAAAAGACACACCGGATAATGGTAATGACTTGTTAAATTATTAACGCCTTGTTAAAATATACACAATATATTATCAAACACATAGTAGGAAAGTAAAAATATTTTTGATGAAGATTTATAAAGTCTAGACGATGAACTGAAGCACCGTGTATAAATAAGTGTAATAAGTTTTTCTAGACTAATTCCACAACGCACATGACAACAATTCTATATGGATAGGTTCTGAGTAAAAAGGTGGAGCAGAGGTACACAAGTTAGTGACCCCTGATCAAAAGGTGTACGAGCAAATATAAAAAAATAAGATAGCATACTATGGTCATATTATAAATGAACTAACGCTACTTTCAAACATTCTAAATAGCAATGCAAATAATCTCTTCCTCGCTTAATACTTTCTTCGTATCGATTAGTGTAAAGAGATAGTTATTAATAATAATCTTAATTAATAAACATCAACGACACAGTACATTAAGAATCGTCGGGGGATGGAGACATCTCAAAAGTGGAATCGGAGTGCTCGGGACGGATGTGTGAATTTTATCGATATCGATTCCCAATTCGATCAGTCTCCATCTACGTGCTTAAAACCTAAATAAATACTCTTAGATGTACTATGGCATCCGTTCCATAAATTAATTTCCATGATATTTTTGCAATTAAAGAACTGTGAAAATGGAAAATTTTATCTCGTGTTTCTTAACTTGCAGGGTACAAAGATAACTCTCGTTGTACGTAAACGGTCCGTTATACTACTTGAGCATTTGCATTGGATCTGTAAGAAATCATATATCAAAAAGTTCAGAACCGAATCCGAAACTTTGTTTTGTAGAGTGACCAAATTCCTCTAAATACAATATGATAATGTTCCAAGTTTTACATTTTAAGTTCTAAGAACGCAAATAGACGCATACTTACACATTAAGTGGTAAGAATCTCGTATTTAGCACCCTTGTTACGCTAGATTTAAATTGCAAAAGCAGTTCAACAACAAAATGGCTGGGAGAAAAACGTTTACGCTCACGCATTCATTGAAAAACATATCGTTAAAATATATTTGTACATTATTAATACAACCTCTTTCGATGTGTTTTCGACATCGGTGAAGTGAAACTAACGTATAGTCCTGACTATTTGTTTCCGCCTCATACATATCTAGCATTTATCTATATAAAACTAGTGTTATATGTAATCTTCATCCGCATCTTCACAGGGAGTCAAATTCTGACACGTCACTCGTCTGAAATTGATAAGTTTACAATCAATTAATGTTCTTAATCCCTTGCAAATTTTAGTCAGTTTCACAAAATGAATTTTGATGATAGTTTGTTAGTAAATGTAGAAATTAATAGGATTTTTAATTTTGAAATTTGATTCGTGCTGCAGTTAGTGAGGTAAGTTTTATGTAGTGCAACAGAATGAAATAGACAATTTCACGTATCCCTTAACTTATGAGTTAGACAGAGATAGCTAGTGCATTGTTTGTAAACTATGATGGATTGTAAGGCACCTAAACAATTCTGAAAACGAAAACTGCGCTACATTTGTGTGACGAACATATTGATTTCTAAGTATGTGTTTAAGTTATCTAGTACCCATAGTACAAGCGTTGCTTAGTTTGGGACTAGAGGATGTTGTGTTAAACTGTGTCCTAAAATGTTTATTTATTCCTATAATATGTCTAGATCGAAGATCTGTTTATAAGGAGATTCTCAGCAGTCATGGCTCAGTGGCTTCTTTTTACTCCAAGCGATTTTTCGCGAATTTACGCGAATTTCAATTACATTAGAGAAGGTCGGAATAAAATAAATAATAAAATAATTGACAACAGCCCGAGTTGACATGTTCGATACGTCGGGCATTTAAAATCGAAATAAAACACAATAAAAACCGTGAAATGAAAAAAACCCGGTGTTTTTTATTTTCGGTTACTAACGTGCTCACTATGTCACAAGTTCCAGGGAAATTGAGACAGCACTAGCAGCTATCACTGTCTACTCTATTCGGGTTGTAACACGCGAAATGTTCATATATAGTGTGCAAAAAGTCGTGCTAGATACCCACAAGGTCAGGTTTATAGAGATGCACGTGCGGTAGGAGGAAGGTGGAGCCCAAGTCGCGTTCGGCCATCGTGTTTGCTTCCTGGGCACAGACAACAATGAGTTCCAGCGCTGTTCCAGAAGTTTCTGGTGTTTAATTCCAACAGAGGCATTATTGAGGACACAAACAGATGTTTATTCGGGACGAAAATGCATCATGCTTAGACAATAATTACGGTTAGGAGGAGAATAAACGTAGGTGAATGCATAAATTAAATTTAACAGCTTTTATTAAGAACAGTATAATTGCAGCTTATAGGTATACCTCTATAGCAAATACTTTTTGGTTCATTTATTAAATCTATATCAAAATTAGTCTAGAAAATCTAGGTTTTCTAGACTTTAGTCATACAGACACATACGCCGCGCGCGATTCAAAACATTGAAGAACTAAGATGGTATTTTTACTAACTGCAGACTCGTAAGCATATTATTTTTAATTAAATATAAATATGATTAATCATTACCATTTTTATGTTTTTTATTCTTCAAAAAATTAGAACATAAAAGAAGCAAACAGCACAGGCCATTTTTTAGCTCGGAACATAAAAGCAATATTATTATTTATTTTATCTTTTGGTAAACAAAATAATCAAATTTTTATGTGTCGAGTAAGATAATTATGCAACGTTTTCGTTATTCGATAAAAAAAACTTATTTCCTCTGTTGCTAAGTTTTTTTTGGTTTTGTAAAAGTAAATAGTATAACTTATAACGTGAACACTCTTGATTCCCCTATGACAGCAATATTGGTGCTGATATTATATATAAGTAAACAAATCTTAATTTTATGTATGGAAAATTATTACTCATATATTATCGGGCTGAGTTTTTCGTTCATGCATTCTTACGGAAGATACAGATTAAAAATTAAACTAAAGATGGATATAAAAGTATACAAAGTATATGTATATAATCTATATATATATATATATATATATATATATGTAATGTATATCGTACTTGGTGCGTTAATCTCGCCGATGACGCTGCCCTGCCAGTGCTCGCGGGAAGAGTCCCCCCCACTGACCTCGCCTCCGACAGAGTTCTGAAAGCGGTCGTACATTCTAGAAGATTCGAGAATTAAACACCCTAGTTGTATCGCATCTGTTAAATATTTATTAAAATGGCCTGCCATTCTTTACACACGGGTGGAAAACTATATAACAGAATGCCGTCAAATAGAATCAAAAAACGTATTACTAATGTTATCGTCGGGTTTTAGCACGTGGCTTCGTCTTAAGGGAATATTTATAAGGTACTTACAACTCCCCGATTCTCCGCTCGGCATCCGTCCATTCGGATAGATCTTCTTGACTGCGTTGCATGAGAAATAAAGTGATTATGTGCATATTATAATATAAAAACGTCAACATCCTGATGGGTGTTGATTTCTGTTTCTACGCGAATATTGTACATGATTAAATTAAACTATTTTACGCATTTTTCCCGTGACCATCACACTTAACGCTGGAAACGTCGAGAATCAAAAATTCGTAAAATAGTTTCATTTTATCATCCTGATGGGTGTTGATTTTAATTACGGACCGAATGTCCTAGTCACTGGTTGAATTTTAGCTCAACATACTGCAGAGATCATTCTAAAATTTGCTTAAAAGGACACTTACTTATTTCGTTACAACTATTTCTTGTGTTTACGAGAACATACATATTGTTGAAAAAACAATAATTTACGGATTATACATATATTTTTGCAGCTTTAATTTTGACATTTATAACTTCTTTCAGGGTCCATGGTTACTAAAGAGATTGGAGTCTGTATGGAAATCAAAACCAAAGTTAAACGGTATAAAATCCATAAATTAGTTTTATTTAACAATAGGAACATTGTTTGATAACAATGTCTTCCATCTACGAACCCTAGATGGAGAATTAGAAACAGAAGTTAGAGATAGAATACAGAGAGATAGAATACTATATCATTGTAAGAGACCTATCAGTGTTGCAAGTATAAAAATGGAGATTATGTTGGACGCCAAGAGCATAATATAAAGGGTATAAAATGTACGTGAAAACTGTCATAAAGTTAAATAATTGTTAAACAGTACCTATATGACTTCCTTAAAGTATTAAACCGAGACAGATCCCCGTCAATATCAGTCTTGTTGACAGATGACAAGTCATCTCTGTCTTCCTTGCGGTCACGATCTACTGTTGTCTCATCTGGTCTGATGGTAGTTGACACTTTGAAGCCAGCCGACACCAGAGCGCCTGTGAAGTGCAATTTTTTTTAAACACCTTTATTCATTATTTAGTCTATGCCAATGTCATAAAGATCATCCTTTGTGTTATCTATTGGGTTAATTGTAGAGCTGTTCAAATCAAATTCGTTATTTGTCTGTGATAATTGTAATGACCAAACAACATTACTATCAAACCTTGCTTATTATGTCGGTCCTTTTGTGCGCTGTACGAAGATTCCAAACTGTGCTTTCTCCTCATCTGAAAAAGAAACGTTCTTACTCAATAATAATATATCAACAGTGAGTGAGGTAGCCGGAGCCCAATTTTCAAAAGGTTGTCAACGCATCTGCAAACCCTCGAGTGTAGCAGATGTCGATGGGCGGTGGTATTCACTTAACATCAGCTGAACCACCTGCTCGCTTGGCATCTTTTCACATTAAAAAAAAACATGGAATTATAGTTCAACGTCAAAAAGTTGTTATTGATTGCCATGGTAATACCGTAAAGTTGATCACTTTGCAACCACCTTCATCGTGTTCCTTTTTGGAAGCCGTGTTCCGTTATAGGTACCTAATTACGGGTAGATGAAATTTATATTTGTTATTTCCATGAATAAATGATTTGATTTGAAAGCCGGTGTGCACGCGTATCCTAAAAATTTTACTCTCATATTTTTTTCCAAACGCGCCAAAAGAAGAATAACTTCAATAATTTAATCAGATCTGTGCAACCACAAAAGAGACCATGTACAACATGTACCAATGTACCTTATTTTATAGTACTAGTTTCTTGGCATACAATGTTCAGTGTAGTAGGAAATAAACTGCTGTCACTGCCCTTTATATCTTGGGGATAGTTGTGACAATTGATAGTTACTTCATCGTTGGCGGTGGTAGCTCCGGACTCCAAGTAGCTGATGAGCTTCGCCTCGCTGCTTAGTTCCAGGCTACGTTTCCTAGCGACGTTGTCTCGGCTGAAAGCGAAGGAATGGGGGAGAATGTAACCGTTGTAAGATCATTAGCTCGGGTAATAGAGTGAGCAAAACTTTTAATTTTTTATGGAAGAACCAGAAAGGCGATGATTGTTCGGTTGAATATGACCGTTAACGTTGCCAGTTGACATCCAAAAAACGCGGGATAGTACCCAACCTTTTATAGAATAGGCATCCGTTACTTTAAATTCCAGAAGAAACGCAAAGGGACGCGTACTTCCTTAACGCCGATCCTCCGTGTAGTCGTACAGTTTCCATGGAGGAAAATTAACATGTGTTTTATCTGTGGTAGGGCCCTGCATCAGCTTTTGCTGTTGCACGATTGGACAGGTCCCTCCCGGTAAGTACCACGACACAAAAGCCCGGCATGAAGTGGAAGTGTTATACTACTGTATATGTGTTCGTCTGTTGAGTGAACTAGCCGGGCCTAGCCCACTATGTTAAACGGTGATAAAGCATCTGCAACCCTACGGAAGTTGCAAATGTCCGTGAGTAGCGTTTATCACCTTCTCGCATTAAAAATGCGTATTTTAATCAGTTGCACGTAGCGATGAGGTTGGAATGCTGGATGGTGGAACTATGTCTGTGTGATTGTATCCGTGTAATCGATTACCTGTCGGAGTGTTGGGGATGCAGGCGCGCCCGCGGTATGATGACTGCGGGTGCGGGCGGGGGAGGGGGCGGCGCATGTGACGGTGGCTCCGACATGGGGCCCGACTTCTTGCTCGTAGACGCGCGCTTTAACAAGACACTTACTTCACAATCACACTTCTCACACAATATCATGATATACCACCCAATCTTTTAGATCATTGATATAGTGGCCTGGGTGAACAAATCAGCTCAGGGACTTCTGCAGTTGGAGACGGTAGCATTCTTATCTGATGAAGAGAATGACGCTCGAGAACAGTTCCAAGTTATTTATGCATTCATTCACCGGCTTTTATATTTACAAAGGTTGGTAAAAAGTTAGAGAAGTTAAAATTGTTTATAGTGCTAATCTTTGCACTTAAGATTTAACATTTTAAAGTTAGAGAAGTTTAGCATAGTTGAAGTTCAGTTGTTTATTTGACTCGTTTATTTGATTTTCAAAATAAACAATTTGAACAGTTATGTTAACTGAGTAATAAGTCGGTGGCATCGTGTGGAGGGGCATGATGGGCCTTAAACTCTCTGTACTGAAAAGCCTTTGCTTAGCATTTATGTGAAAAGTTGCCAAGCGAGCAGACGGTTCACCTGATGTTAAGTGAATACCGCCGCCCATGGACATCTGCTACACCCGAGGGTTCCTGATGCGTTGACAACCTTGGCCATTTATATGCTGTTAATTTTAAAACATTATAAATTTTCTTTGTTAAAATTCAATCTGAAAAAATCTAGAATCCATGGAACAAATACTTCCCACAAAAAAATAATATATTTTTTTTTTATTTATCATTAGTGACAACCTTTAGAATCTATCAAGTGATTACTAGTTTACCTTCGATGGCAAATAAGGTAGAGACGCGTTCTGCACGCTGGACGCGTCTGCCGACTCCGTCCGATCGTTGATAAGTGCTCGCCGGTCTGGCCTTTGCTTTGATGGAACCGTACCCTGGAACATAATATAATAAAGGCTTCATTGTCCACTGTGCTAAAGGAATAGAACAGACAGGAACAAGCGTTTGCTTGAATGGGCTCGGTAAGGAAAGCGGAGAGACCGCACAGAAGACGAGTGTAAATATTTTTATTTAAAAAATTGTCAAGTAAATACCGCAGCCCATGGACATCTGAAACACCTGAGGGCTTGCAGATGGGGTCCGCCTACCTCACTCGCCAGAAAAAACGCAGAGCTATATCACTTCAACTTCACGCCGGTCTTCTGTGATTTCGTGGTATTAAACCGGACGGACTAGCGCATTCGTGCAACAGCACGAGTCGAATTACACTATTGATAATTCCATTTACAATATTGTTAATCAACCTCTGGGTTATACTGAAGAAATACGAACCTGGTGAAGACTCGGCATTCCTTGAATGCAAGCCACTATGGAGCGCTGTGGTGGGCGTGGGCGGCGCGAGCAAGCCACCACCGCGCAAACGACCAGCACCACCGTCAGCAACGCACCGATCACCACAAGCGAAATAAGCACCACTGCAACGCATTGTTTAAGAGTCCTTCAATAACGTTTATGAATGAACTTACCACGGGCAATCTTTTACGACATGTGGTGGACGCCGGCGGCGCAGTTGCTAAGCTATCGGTTTCGGCATTGAGGGCCGAGGGTTCGATTCCCACACGGGAGGAGTGTGACCCACAATTAACTGTTCCGGATCTGGGTGTTTGTTTCCCAAGGAAGGTCAACATCAGGTAGGCGGCTGGTCGTATAAAACAGCCAAAACCGCTTACAACATGATTCATGTATTGTGCCGACCCTATATATGTAGGAAAAGGGCAGGAGGGTGATGATTACGGACATTGTATATAATTTTTTTTTAATTGATATCCTTACTATCCAGTAACAAGCAACAGGTTAAAGCTGCTTTTTTGTGTCGGGGAGAAGATATGTGAAGTAGTAAGATACTAATCCGTAGTGGTACACTATGCGCTAATACCTACTATATAGAGACGGCCTTTGCCCAACAGTGGGACACGTTTTACCCACTTTTTAAATAGTCAAGGAAACATCATAACTTAAATTGTAACTGTAAACGTACCGCTTACCATGAGGCGGGATGGTAGTCGAACAATAACTATCATACATGAGTTTGTGATAAAACAGTAAAACTAAAAAAAACTCACCTTTAAGGTTAATTTGACAGCTGCTGCCTGCGTACCATTGGAAGCATTCACATAGAACCCTGTGATCGTCTCTCGAATAACACGCGCCATGATAATTGCATCGTTCGCAGCCCACCGGTTCCGCTAGAAGGGTAATTAAGGTCTATTTCTAAAACAATAACTAACCACTTCAATAAATCGTAACTGCTCGTCCAAAACGCTATATAGTGACAATTTATCAGCTAGGAATAAGTGATATGATTACAGTTTAAAATAAACTGTATCACAATCTTAATGAAGACGACGTGAATTAAAATATTTGTTCCTTGGTGATTACTTTGCGATTTAACATTTCTTCTTCTTATTTTAAATTTCTTTGCGGCAATTGTTATTAGTTAACATAATTTCACATGTTTTTCTCGCCCTGAGAGGTAGGTACTATTATCGTTATTACCATGTTCACTGTAAGGTACAATGTGGGTCCACCATGAACTCGTACAATTGGGTGAACGTTTTATATTTTCCCTTACTAAGGAACTTACCCGAACAAATCCTGCCAGGATATAAAGGGTTGACGCTGAGGTCTGCAAAGCCTTCTAAGCAGCTACAAGTGTAGGTGCCCCTGAGGTTAAAGCACTGGGCATGTTCAGAGCAGTCGTGGAACTGGGGACTCACGCATTCGTCGAAATCTATGTATTGAAAGAACATCATTTAAAATTACCAAATCACCTCTGCCGTTCTTGTGATGTTCATTATTTTAGTATATTTAATCATATGTAACTAATATGAATACGAATAAACAAATAAAAGACAGACTCTTATAATCTTGTCTAATGCGAGAATCGAACCTAGACCACAGCGTGTAATAGAACTTAGTTAGTCAAAATTTAAAGTAGAGTTGTTGAATAACTGGTAACTTTTGCGGAATGAAAAGCCGTGATAGTCGAGTTAAAGCCCAATAAACGTGATAAAGAATGAACAAACACACACACACACTTTTGCATTTCTAATAATATTGCGATAGACATTCTTACCGCTGACATCTAGTTTGTCCATCAGCTCACCGGCAGCATATACATCTGTACCTCCAAGACTATAGTTATTGTTCCTGAGATACTTCTCAATCACTTCCTTCAAACGGCTCTCGTGCGCGTTGTCCGAGAGCTTAAAAGTTGGAAATGCTAACATTATAAAGAACTTCCAGTAAAAAAATAGAACAACCATCTCACTATACAATTGCCCTTTTTTATGAGTTTACTATTTATTAAACATAGTCGAGATGCAAGAGTACAGGTCACGTAGTAAAGATGCGTGGCATAGTGATTTCACAAATTATAATATACGAACAAATTTTCGGCTTCAAGTTTAATTAAATTAATAATGATTTTTTTTTTCAAAATAAAATACATGCTAACTAACATGTGTATTGTTAGTTGATTTTAATTCTTATCGCAATTATTTTACCCAACAACTTGGAAAAAAAAAATATTGTCTAAAAAATAAAAAATAAAATATTCTCAACTGATTCTGAATGTTCAATACAGTGAGCTAATAATAGAACCCATTATGAACTTCGTCAACGTCAAAATCCTTCCACTTCGAGAGTTAACTACAAATATATAAAATATGACAAGAAGTTCCAATAAAAACTGATTATTGGATTCGCCGTTTAGAAGAATAAAATTGAATCCTATACTTACCATAGTAATGTCACAATTACCTGAACATAGAAGTCATTGACGACGCCTTTGTATTTCTCCCCTTTAAGAGTAATCATATCTACCGGTTGGAAACCGTTGATATGAACCCCGTGGTACACATCTCTCAAGTCCGACTGCATTATCATTCTGTTTATACCTTCGTGAGTTGCTAAGGCGAGCGCGTGGTACTGTTTGCTTGAATTGTCGGATAGACTCTCGTGGAAATGGAGACGCTCATGACCTTGAGATCGGAGAGCTAGTTTCACTGAATACGTGTATGTAGCTGGAAAGAAAGAAACATTATTTACACTAATCTACAGGGCGTGAACGAGTTAAATGGTTTGGGCCAAGTTACTACGAACTACCAAGCCCCACCGACACATTTTATTGGTGTCAGAGGGGCTTAATATTACACGCATTAAAAAGCCAAACTGGAATATTACACGTGGGAATGCGAAAACCAAACATGAGTATTGAGTCCACAAATAATTCCCCTGTTTGTCTCTCCCATTCCCGCCAGTCCTTGTAGCTTCCAGTGTTTCTGTGAACAATCGTTGAAGTCGGTAGTGTCGGATATTCCATAGCTTTATTTTTAAGTATTATAAAGCTTTATTAAGCAGTAACCTGACACTACATGTGCAAAATATGTGGGCAGTGCACTAAAAAACAACTTCACTGCAACTGCATTTAATTTTTGCACGGCCACACGTTTCGTTTTGTTTACAGGGTTTAATTTCTCTTAATAACTCTAGTACGAGCGGAATAGAAAGTTGCTAATATATTTTTTGAGAAAAACAACGAAATCTTTTAACTTAGAGTAAAAGTTATCCATATCAATTTTTTACTTACGTTTACAAGGTCTATCCGGGAACATCCGAGCGAAACCAGGTCTGCAGATGCATTTCATCATGCCATCAATTCTTTGACATCTTTCATTTCTGGAAGCTTTACAATCAGGCTGACATTCTTTACCATATCCTATAAATGAAATGAAAACGATGATAAAAATTTATTATATTTGATTAAGTGGTTCTCATGTGCTCATTTCTTCGTCGCTTATATTTAATTGCTATTGCTCAAATAAATTGCAGCGCCCTTTGATTTTCGATGTATAATGCAGGCATAGATCATTGGTAATATTATTAAAAAATCTTTTTTTAATAAAGACATTATTTCTCTCGTACGATCGAGGCACTGGCATGCTTTATAAAGGATTTTTTTAATAAGTGAAAAAAATATATAGATCCTTACCGCCGTTGGGATGTCCCACATTAGTAGTTTCTAAGTATGGTGTTCCGGCTAACAATATTTCACCGAAGAGAACCTGTGACACTCCATTACTGTTCACTTGCTCATTTCTTGTAATGCTATCAAAATCGTCAGTTTCAATATCCGTGCTTACTGGTGGAGACTTGCCTCCGTTTTGTGACTTGTTCATTACCACAAAGAATGTATCATTATCATTCTCCCCATCATGTTCAATCTTTTGAATGTTTTCTGTGGTATCACTATCTTTTATGATAAAGTTATCTTTTTCTTCTGAAGACATAGAGATATCATCAAGAGCTACTTTGGTCTTAGTTATTTGTTGTACCGGTGTTGGATCAACTTGAGGAACGGGTATGTGTTTTGTCACAGTTTCCACGATTGTTGTTGGTTGTACTTGAGTGTGGATTTCCGTAATAACATCGACTATTGTAGATGTATGGGTATTCGTAACGACCAATGTTTGTGTAAACGCTCCTTCCGATTGGCTAATAAGATTAGTTTTTGTATGCGTTACAGTCATCGTATGTGTCAAATTAACAAATCCGATGCTAGAAACTGTTTTGGGTGCTTCAGATAGTGTTTTTGTTAAAGTAACAACGGTGGTTTTAAATTCAGTTTTGGTAGAAATTATGTCATCTGATATTTTTACTTCGTTACCTGCATAATGTTTAAGTTGACTTGAATCGTTGGTAATTAAGTTAGGTACATTAGTTTTTTCCACCAAAGTATGCTCAGGAAGAATTGAAATCGGCAAATCAGTCTGTTTTAGAACATCTGTTGGTCCCATAAAGTCGTCCGCAATTGGTGATTCAGAACTTTCTAAAATAGGCGTAGCCAAAGTTATCATAGGCTTTGAAGGTGTTGGTTTAACCACATTTCGAGATGGAATAACTCTGGGTGGATATAAAACTTCAGGCCTATTCACAATCCTACTTGGTGCAATGTTAAACTGAGACTTAGGCGGTAATTTATTTCTATTAGAATTGGTTTTCTTATCTTCTACGTGAACAGGATATGGTTTGCGCGTTCTGTTTTTATATCCCAAAGGAATTACAGACATTTGATCAGTGGTTTTGTTGCGCATACCATGAGTTAATACGTGGAAATTGATTTCTTCGGTAGAAGATTCTCCAACCACTTCCATGGTTGTTTCTTTGGAGGCTGGTGAAGTATCTTTAAACAAAGGTTTAGTTGAGCTAGAATCGCTAATTCTTTCACCAGAAGAATTACCGTCATAAGAAATGTATTGATCCGGTTTTTCTGAAGAAATAATGTCAGATATGTCAACTTCTTTTGATGGATATGATTCCGGAGGAAATACTATTGAAGTTGGAGCAAAATTGAATTTTGACGAAAAATCAACGCTATTTGATGTTATCCAACTGGATGACCCTGGTGTCGGGAAAATAATAACTGAAATAGGGGATGAGGTTGAAAGCGTTCCTGTTTGTATGGAAGAAATTATTTTTGATGATGTGTCAACAGGAGGAGGCAACAACAGTGATGAGGGTTGATCCCTATTAAAGTTCGGGCGAATCAACTTATTAACTATATCATAAGAAGGCCTGTAAGTGGAGATTTCATCTTTATCGGTAGGTTTCTTGTTAGGCCGCTGCGTAAGTAATCTAGGTGGCAATGTTCTAGGTGGTACAGTTCTGTACAGAGGTGGCGTTCGCGTTGCCATACCTGGTCGAGAATTTGGTGGTCTTTGTGTGTGTCTCACTGGATGTGCCGTTCTTGGTGGTGGTGGACTCATTCCCATAATGATTTCATCTTTTGTAGACGGCTTAAAATTATATTCAACCGGTGGAGGAGGAGACAAATTAATTATATCAATTGACTGATTATGATTTACATCATTTGTTATTGTAAATGTAGGTAAATTTGATTTTTCTGTTACCTCTAATATTAAAGGTTTTTTGTCTTTTATATGCACAGTAGATGTTATAATATTTGAAGTTTCGTTTGTTAAATGTGTTCTATTTTGCTGCACTGATTCAATTAAGTTCTTTGAATGTTTTTTGTCAGTATCATTAATTTTATTAAAACTATCTAAGCTACTCGTTCCGTGTAAAAATTTGTGGGTTGTGCTCATTTCTTCTCCTATATTTAAATGTAGATTTTCTTCATATGAGATATTGGTAGAATTCGCCATTAGTTGATTGATTTGCCAATGTGGTTGATGTAGTTGGTGATCAAGAGGTAGTACAGTATTTATCGTGAATGGTCTAGGTTTCATATACGAATGTTTTCCAAACTCGTTTGGTTTTATTGTATTTGCCTGAGTATCTTTATCACTAGTGAAGTTTTTTAAAGGCTTTTCAGTTTGAGTATCAGGATTAAAACTATGCAAATTAGTATTTTTACTTGCTTGCATATTTTTTTGTGGTACAAATCCTTGGCCTATATGGTGAGTTATGTCCAAGGAAAATTGAGATATATTTTTTACTTGACTAGAAGATGTAACAACAGGTACTCTCATGGATTCTAAACTTACTTCTTCGTCGGCACTTTCATTAATTTCAAATTCTTCTTCCCCGTCGTATATTTCTTCAGAGTTTTCATAAACATGTTTGTCTTTATTATCCAATTTTGGTTTAGTAAATTTAGCTGTAGTTGTTTCATGAACAGTATCCTTTATAAAAATATCATAAGCTGGTAGATTAGGCCTAATGTTGAGAGGCGCATGGTTTAAACTGAAATCAGGGTTTATTGCAAAAGACGCACGACTAGAATTAAAGTTTAAGTTTTCTTTATTTTTTGTAAACGGTTTCCCAATACTCAAATCACTTGTAAAATCTTGAGTATTGTGCCACAGAGGTGGTTTTCCTATACTGGCTATTTTTTGTCCAAATTGTGGTATGCTTTCTTTGTTATACTCATAGGATATAGGAATTATTTTTCTAGTCGTAGCTTCAATGTGTATTTGATTTATATCTTTTAAATTATTGTCATTAAAAACAATGCTAGAGTACCAACCGTGAGAGTTTGTTGGAATATTTGGTATTAATTTTGCTGGTCGTTTTTGTTCAACTGAAACCTTGGTATCATCCACTTGATTCGTAGTCTTTATGAAAATATTTTGATCGTTAGTTACGGGGAAATTTGCATGACTGTTTAATGATGGGGGCAAGGACGGGTGGATGTCCTTCTTAATATGTCCTTCAACTATATTATTGTTGCTATTTAGTGGTTTCCCAACGTAAACATATTCGTTATGTGCTTCGGTTTGATTCCATTGATTATTTTCTGTTGAAATTCTCGAAGGTACACGTCCATGTTTATTATAGTTCGCAATAGGCTTTATATTACTGTGAATAGTTATATCTTCAAATCTTGAAGGATCATCCTCAACTCTAATTGCAATATTGGTACCAATAGGTATATCCGTATTTAATTGACTTAATTGTGAAGGCGTACTTATCGGTATAGATGCACTTAAACTCAAACCTTGTCCATGTTTTTTAATAGCAGCTGCATTCGCAATTGAGTTAGAGGCTGAGTTAACTGCAACAGTATTTTCGTTCTTTTTCCTATCATTACTTACTTGTGTCATATATTCTGCGTTTGACACTGGTACTCTTCCTAATGAACTTTCACCATTTTGTGCATTAGATAATTTATTTGAGATATTACTTGTAGATAATTTTGTTTGTGTATTTGTATATAAAACTGGTGGAGATGGGAAATCAACATTATATACTGAGGGTTTGGTGTTTGGAGCTTGGGCAGCAAAATAAATTTCAGATGTAACCTTTGGAGGTAACTGTTCGTGGTGTGTTATTTTCGTGACTGGATGTTGAACGTTCAAAAATACTTTCATATCTTGGATTGGTTGAGTATGGATAAATGGTCGCTGATTAAAAGGTTTATTTTTATCAAAATTATTTTCGTTGTTATGGCCAAAATGTACTTTTGATGGGGGTGGAGGTGGAACGGCTAAATAGTTTTCATACTCTTTATCGATAACTTCATTTCCAGGTTTTACTTTGTCATTTTGTCTGTTCATATTTAAACTTTGACCATTTACTTTAAACATTTCGGGATTATAAACGACTTGCGGACCTACTTGCATATGTGTTTCTTGATTACTAACAGGGGGTGGTAGTTTATTAATGTTTAAAGGTCGTTTGTTATCCTTCCATTTGACTTTTTCGTCATTTATGTGTCCATTCTTGGAGGGTTCCGATGACGGAATTGCAGGTTTTAATAAAAATGGTTTGTTATTGGGCGCAACGTTGTGGACATAAGTCATTTGGGGTGCATCTATACTAAAACTGCCAAAATAACCAGGTTCCGGGTAAGGAAGAGGGTCATCAATATATTCTCCTGTTTTATGAGGTTCCGATGATCCAGCAAAAACTAACGCAGTAGAACTTCCATGTGGTATTATAACATTTGCAACTCTTGAAGGCTGAATATCCACTAAGAATGGTTTATTTACTGAATCTGGACTAATAGACACAACATATTCGCCATCAGTTGTTACTCTTGTATTTACTATTTCCGAGGAACTTGGGCTGTTATCAACTATTTCCTCCTTTTGGTGTTCATTTTTTAGTGGTCGAAAATCAATATGCTGTTCATGAGGAAGCTTAGGACTGGGTTTAGTAAATGATAGTCTATAATCCAGAAACGACGGCTTTCCGTGATTTCCAAAACCCACATCTTTTATATGTTCAGACGTAAACTTTTGTTGATTCAAAAATGAAGGAGTCCTTTGAGTATTAGGATAAGGCAATCTGTACTGATCTTTGTTTGGTTTTAATATTGGTAAATTTGGAGGTCTCAAATCAAACGAGTCATCGTCTTTATTGGGTAATGATGATTGCTTACTGGAAACTGATTTTTCTGCTGTTAGAAATGGTTCACTGTTTGACATAAAATTATCAATAGGGGGATTAACGGGATTTTGCAATTTAATTCCACTCGCTACCAACGTCAGTGGCCCACCGACAGCAGGCTTACCTACTATTACGTCAGAGTTTGCCGTAATAATTTCTCCAGGGCTTATGGGTATGCCTCCATTTACTAAAGGACTTTCATGAATTATTTTTGGCGGAGTTATACCTGTCTTTGGTTGTTTGAATTCTGTGGCCCATGCAAAATTTTGATGTAAAGTAGCATTCGTAAAAGCAACCTGTGATTCGGACATTTCCATTTCATCGACAGGTATATAAATAGGAAAGTTGTCATGTTTTGACTCTAGGTCACTATCAACTCTTTTATTGGCGTTGTAGGGTGTCAACTTATTTATTGGCTTAACTGTTGTAGACAATATAGTTTTGTTTATTTCCTGCCTTTTCATAAACGTGTCTGTCATTTTTTCGATTACAGGAGCTAGCTGGGACAAACCCTTAATACCTAAAGATCCTAACTTTAAAAGATCCGCAACTACGAATTTGTTCTTATTTGTTTTCACTGGTTTCTCAATTTTGTTTTTTTCTGGCGCTTTACTATTAGGTATTTTATTTATTGATTGTGTTGGGGCTTGTTCATTAGTAAGTAAATCAGTTTCCTTAATAGAATTTGTATCCTTTTCATCTGAGTAATCATTTATTACTTCGGTATATTTTTCTACAATTTTGTCTGTTGGAGCTGAATGTACACTACTTGCAGGATAAGAGTCATACTGACTATTTTCATTCATCGACTCTTTTTGTGTTGGTTGCACTTCTATTTTCACAAAACCGGTATTGGACGTTTTAGTGTTGTATTTTTCTGAAGATGACAAAGAACTCGTGTATTTTGTTTTCAAACTCTCTGTTTTTGTATTGCTACAAGAACATGATGTAGAGCATGGTGGTTGGCTAACTTCTGATGGCTGGATTAAATCAAAATTGTGAGTACTATCCTCTTGTTCGTCGATCTGTTTCTCAATTTTCGGAAAATTACTAATAAACATATTGCTCGGAGCAGATGGTTGAATAGTTTTAATCTCCATGAATTTCACCTGAAAGTAGTATTTAATCATTTTATACCATTATTCACAACTATCTTGTCGAGAATAAATTAAGCCAAATTAAAATTTCGTAGTTCTTATATTTTTTTACGCTGATTGCATAAATGAGGTTAATTCATTAACTTAATACAGATGTAAAATAACGAACTTGTGTACTTTTACAGAATTAGTTTTTTAATTAATTTTACTTAATTACATATATACATTAAGGCTTTAAGTTAACAAATAAGCTAAGTACCATTCACTAAAGATATAACTCTTGTAGGATAAGTTAATAGGAAAGGCTAAGCTACTTTTAGTGTGTCTAAATCATGTTAAAATGAAAAATATTAATATGGTGTATGCTAACTCTGGACTGATTTGATCATTCCATCCGTAAAGGGTTCTTTATCTAAAGGTATCGGAATTCAGGACTACTATTCATCATGTTTTAGGGTTCCCAAATGTGTTTAAATCTTACTTTTGTCGGCTTTAAATCTCCTAATAGGTCTGAAGCAAACACATTTGTCAATGATTCAGTTGTAATCACGGATACAATGGTTTCGAATGTTGATATCGCACTTCGTTTATTTTGAATTACCGTTGTTAAGTATGTGTATGTCGTCATACAAGTCTTGATAATGTAATTGTGCTTCATGAGTTGATTTATTGGGAACATGGCGTTCAACTGCTGATGATTCATAACCGTAGCGACAGCTGATGATATTAATGACTTGTTAGGCGCTAAAGATGTACTGGAGTGAAATTTTGGTGGTTTCATGGATGTTATGTGAATGAACTTAAATTTTCGCTGAGAAAACAAAAGCAAATAAGTTTGATGAAATAGATAATAAGTGTGCAGTGCATAATAATATAGTTGACAAGGCAGGTATATTCAAAAAGTATGTAATTGATTCAATAGATCAGACATTCAAACCATAAAAATTTATAAAGGTTTTTATACGAAAGATCTTTACATACTTCAAATGAATGTTGGAATGCATTACCTGATCTTGTTTTCCGTCCGTACCCTTGTCTCTTACTAAAACTTCTACTCCATTAGACATGATCCTTGTAGCAACGTTTTTGAGTTTTCTTTCATTATCTTCGGCATCATCTCGATGCTCCATTGGCATGAGTCTTCCAGGTCTCCACGGAGAATTATCATATACAATACCATATGTGTTAAACGCTGTAATATTAATTATTTTTTGTGATGTTATATTACTATATTCTTTAAATCATATCTGGTAACTTTTAATAACTAATGGTTTAGTAATATAAATAAATCATAATATTTAAAAAATTTATAAAACTGATTTACGGATGTAATCATGATTTCTCTTTTATTTTAAACTGGCAAAGTTTCGCTTTACTCTTTATTATTACGGGATGGAACCCGTGACCATTAATATGGTAAAGTGAGTTTAAAGTACAAAAATACATTAAATTTCATAAAGTAGGTTTAAAATGTGTAAATTCGCATAAATAAAAGTTTTTTGTACTCGACAAAGACATACCCAAAAATTAGCATTTTCTTGCAACGTAAAAACGTTAATTTTTGTATAACCATGCATATAATAGAATAAATTGTGCTATTGAAAGAAGTTTAAATTATCTACAAAGATGAAATTCACCAATTTTAGGCTTTTAATCGAATAGTTGAGATTTGTTTATAGAATTACTTTTAAGTCAATTTTATATTTTTATATGTACAGACATGCATTAAGTTTGTAAATCTTAGTTCTACGTAAAGCTATTATATTTCACAAGTGTCAGTAGCAAAATTTTTTCAAATGTTCTTGAATATAGTTTTGAATAAATCAATAAAATACATTTTTAAATATTTTTTATAACTTTAAATAATTATTTAATTTATTATTTAAATAATATTAAGTTTAATAACTTATTATTGTGTAATAATAATTTTACGTCAAGAACATCCGTTTCTCTAAGTGCTTATTTTAACAAAACACGAACAAAACTCACCTCTGGAGGCAGGCAGTTAGATGATCTCGGGATGTGGGTTTGGAGCCCTCCATTAGTGAAAGGTCATCAGGGGAGCCAGTCGTCCATAGTCAAATTTGTAAAGTTATCAGTCAACACATTTTTGTCAAGTCAATAAGAAGTTAGCCTTTTTTGCTTTATTAGAATAACATTGGCGTAACTTGATTGCCATAAAAAATTCTGTAGTCTTTTGATTTAAACATTTACATGAGTATGAATAATAATTAATCATAAAACGAGAATAAAACAAACCATTAAAAATTTATATTTACTTTTATTAATTAACTTTTTAAGTCGTAATTTGCCATTTACAATTGGAAGCAAGATAAACACGAGTATTATTATCAATGAATGAAACCTTTAAAATCCTAATCTAAACATGTCATTAGTTAGGCTAGGTAGTGATAAAACAGTACTGTTACCTATACACCTACAATAAATTTTGACTTATTATTAAGTGAAAGTTGGTAACCCTACAATGAAATGTTTTTGGTGAATAAAGGGAAGATTTTAAACACTTTTCATGTAATATATCACATAAAAACTTTTCATGTATGTACAATACGTACCTAAAAAACTATAAAAGAGTATTCAACATTAATTCTTGTACAAATAATTAAAACTATAAGGCACTATTCATAGTTAACTTACTATGATACATTGTAAATAAATAACTAATCCATTATTTTACACACCTAACCAGTTGTTCAGGCTCAAGAGACATCGTCCACTGACCTTTGTTGTTTTTCCGTGATCGCAGATGGATTTGCCAATTTTACAACGTACGTCGGTGATGCGTCATATCGTATATGATCACTTATTTTTCCAACTATACTTTCTAGGCTTTGTGTTTCACTTTGAGCTTCCAGGGCAGAATTAGGTTCATTATAAGTAATCGTATTTTCCAAAATATCAGTTTGCGAACCAATAAGTTGGTGAATGGATGGCATTAGAGTCGGAGTTACTCGAACATCTTCATAATAAACTGCTTCACGTTTCCGCACGGTTTGTGTATCATCAGATATAACAGTCGAAAGCACCGTACTGAATTCACCAGGGAATTTACCAGATACATACAATGTCACCACACTTGTCATTTTTGGTGGACTTGGTTTTGGTGTTCTTTGTCTATGCCTTACATGTGAAGATGGAGGTGGGGATGGTGGTTGTGGAGGGGGTGTGTCCTCACCACTTTCCTCAATATCTTCAGAAAAGTCTTCGTTGCTACTTAAATCCGATAAAATATTAGGTTTAGGACTATTGCTATAAATATCGTTGTTTAAATTTAAATTATTGTTGGGCAAGAGGTTAAGATCAGGTTGCGCCAACCCAAGAAGGGGATTAGAGGTTGGTAATGACAGAATTTGTTGTTGCTGTTGCTGCTGCTGCTGCTGCTGTTGAAGTAACAAAGGAAGCAACAAAGAGTTGAACTGCGGAGGAGGTGCTAATACTGTTGGAGTAGTTACAACAGTGTCTGTAACGTATTCGGTAGCAGTTATGACATTTGTAGTGGGATCTACAATAGTCGTCAAAATAGCTTTACCTCTGAAAGTAATGGGCAAGACTGTTTCTCTAGCATCTGTCACTGTAGTGACAAAAGTAGTGGTTCTAGTTTTATACTCAGTAACAGGTGTTTGTACTACTGGTTGCTGTGGTAGCAGTGCCTGGCCTTGAAGTGCTAAAAGAGGATTTATTGCAGGTTGTTGATTACCCAATAAAAGTTGGGAGAGTAATAGATTGGCTAAAGGAACGTTTGCGTTAATTTCTGGACTTACAGTTTGAACTACAGGCTCAACATTGTATACAGTACTTGGCAGTATGTGCGAATAAGATGTTTTTCTACCTCTTATGGTAGTTGGAGTAAATATAACGGTAGTAGTTGGAGTTTCATGCAAAACGTATTTAGTTATTTTAGTTGCACCATTGTCTGCTAATTCAGTTGATTCGATTGCTAGCACTAATTGTTGATTTCCTAATGGTCCAATAGATGTCGTTATTTGATTTAACAATAGTGTTTCAGTACTGGGTTTAGCCGATAAAAGGTTTTTATACTCAGTGATTTTACCGTTGACCACAGGGACTGTTACTTCAACAGGTATTTGATGAGTGATGGTTATTTTTCCGTCATTTAGTAAGTTATTATAGGAATCTTGTCTATGCCTTTCAGCACTGAGATTTTCAAATGAATTTCGCTGCCTACTTGATGCTCTACTAGTAGTGGTACGAGTTCGCGATCGACTTGTAGAACTACGTGATGATCCTGGCCTTGATCTATCAGAACTTTTATTAGATAATCTAGGTGCTTTAGGTCTAGATGAGTGAGTAGTAGTTCTTGAAGATGTTCTTGTTTTACCTCTTCTGTATGCAGGAGAGGATGTTGTGCTTGAGGTTCGGCTTTCCCCACGAACTATAAAAGATTGTCTTGATGATGATTTTGGAGATGCAGCTGTAGTAGTTTTTGCGATTCTTCCATTAAAGCGACTACTTTTTGTTTTTTGTGTTACCGGTGATGGTGGTTCTGTTTCCGGCTCGGGATCCGGCCGACGAGTTGACACAGGTTTTAGACCTGGTCTTCTAAAATTGTTAAACTTTCTATTTCCGTAATCTACTTGACGTCTTGTTCGCCTTCTAAACGCGAAAGGTCTGATTTTTACCACACCGTTCTGATTAGATGTAATAGTTGATGGTGTAGCAACTTGCTGTTCTTTTCTATCAGATGAGTTCGTAGTCATTATCTTCCTCAAATTCTTCTTCTTCAAGCAACTCTTCATCTTCTTCTACTTTTTGTTCTATTTCTCTTATTTCTTCTTCTGGTACAGGTTCAGGTTGTTTGAAAAGATTTCTTCTTGGAAATAGTGAATTAGGCCGCTCTCTACGTAATAATAACAATGGATTTGATGTTGAACGCCTCGTAGAACGCTTAGTTGTTGTTGTTGTTATTCTACCACGTAAAGTCGCGCTTCTTTTTGCTGAAGGAGTTGTTGACCGTGGTAAAATTGCAGTACCAGGTTGTCTGGCAATTGGTGGTCTCCTAAATTTTAACAAAGGATTATTGGTAGTTCTAAGTAAGGATTCAGTAACTTCATCCAAAGACTCAGTTGCATTTTCTTCGATTTGAGTTACAGATGTTTCCGAATTACTTTGTTCATTTAAAGGAAAAAATAAGGTAGAAGATTGTCTACTATTTCTTAATCTAGACGATGCTGTTGGCCTTATTCTAGGTATTGCGGATCTACTGGCATAATCTAAGCTATTGCTTCGTAATGAGCTGGATCTAAATCCTGTTCTTCGTGAAGAAGGTTGAATGCTTGCTTTTCCTGAACCCCCAGATCGAGAAGCCGATGGTACATTAGCAGATAAATTAACGTTGCTACTACGACCTGAAAATCTTCGACCGGAGCTCGATAAAACCGGAGTAACTGATTGTTTTCTACTAACCCCACCGAATCCCGATGGTCTAACAGATTTTAAAGTTGGAGTTGCAGTTATTGTAGGCGTAGAATCAGCGCGCGTAATAGTGGTAGCACTACTTAATAAAGGCACTCGTTTAGGACTAAATGTTGGTCTATTTCTTGATGCGAATGGTATAATAACTGGTGTGAAAGACGGTTTTTTAGCTGTAAAAGTAAGTCGACCTTTTTTTCTAGGGCTAGCATCTTCATCTTCTTCTTCCTGCTCTGGTTTGGATTCTGTCGTAGTTTCTGCTACAGAACTTTCTACTACTTCAGGTATGGGACTTATTACTGATCCATTTGTAGTTGTTGTTGTTGTTGTGGTAGGTGTTGTGGTTGATGTTGTTGTTAAACTATCTTGTAAGGTTTTATTGTCACTCGTTACAACCGTTGAATCTCCAGAAATGACTGCAACCTGTGAAAATAGTATCTTCTTTTCGGTTTCAGGACTACTCTTATTGTTTTTTAGTGGTTTCACTTCAGCGTACAAGTTGTCAATGTATGTTCCCAAAAGAACTGTAGATGAAACTGATGAAAAATCAGGTAACTTGGTTGCCTGTATTTCTTCTTTAACTAAAGTAGGTGCGATCTTATCATCATTATCTTGAATAAGATTTTTTCCAGCTGCAACTGCCCCAACTTTGCGTCCTAATTGATTGTCTTCAACAACTTTTGTATTTTCAACAATATTAGTTACAGTTTCCAAACTACTTCTTACTTGTGATATGTTTCCAGCATAAAAAGTGGTAAAATATGTGTAGGTAGTATAAAAAGTAGCTTTACCGTCATCATGATCCAAAGTATCATCACCTATTGAAGGACTTAAACCTACTTCTAATTCTTTAGGAGGTAAAACACTTTCTACATCTATGGGTGTCGTATCTATAGGACTTAAAGTTTGAGGCGATTGAACAACCGGAGTAACAACATTTGAAACAATTTCTTCCCGACTAGTAATTGTTGTTGACTTATCCTTATACAATGTAGTCCAATACGTAAATGTCGTATAATATGTAATAGGTAAATTGCTTTCTTCCTCAGGTTCAGACTTTGGTGTAATTGTTTCTGTAACCACATTAGTTATGGTTTCTAAACGACTTTTCACGTTACTAGAATCTTTACCAATATACATAGTTGTAAAATATGTAAACGTCGTGTAACTCGTTTGCAACAAAAGCGTAGGGGACGGTAATATCTCTTCTATATTACTTTCCGAACTTATTTGATCATCTAAAATTATGTTGTTATTGTCTATTATTTTCCTCTCACCTTTAGAAGTTGACGATTTAACATCAGTGACGTATGAATTTTCTGATTCTAACGGATTTGATTCTATGCTCAGTAACATATCAACTTCTATTGGCGTGGGTTGTATAGATACTTTATTTGAATCTTTGTCACTAATACTATCATTAGCAATGTTTTGAGTAATGAGATCTTGGTCTCTTTTAATTTGTTTACAATTTCTAAAATCGAATTGTGCTCTTGTATTTTCTGTTATTAGAGCATTACTTTTTGTTGGTATTAACTCATCAGGCCCCACATAATTAGTATATACTTCACTCCTACTACATACGTTGGCATCAGAACCAACGTAAATTGTTGTGAAAAATGTATAAGTGGTATAATAAGTTTTAACCGCGTCAGGTTTAATACTGGCGAACATATCGTCACCTAAAAATGGTGTTGGTGTTTGAGAACTGTATACTCCATCATTTTCTACAGATTCTATTACATCTTTATTTTTGACCAAATCAATAATGCTATTGATTGCAAATGTTTCGGTAGGGCGTCCAACTCCTACGTTAGTAGGTGCAATGTTGTCTTCACCAAAATCTCTAAGTAAAGATGCATCCAAGTTTGATAGGTCCACCGTCGATGTAATAATATTTGTTACCACTGACTTATGACTTGCTACGCTTGAAGTATGATCTCCAAAGAAAGTTGTAAAGTACGTATATGTTGTATACAATGTCTTATATATTAAATCAATTTCATTTTCCGAAATTTTTGCATCGTCATATTCTTCAGATACTGGTTTTTCGGTGGGGGTACTTTCAGTACTGACAGAAAACTCCATATGACTAGTTGATACACGTTCTGTTGCTTTTGTAGATGAATCTTCAACATCAAATCCATTAGACACCACATTTTTATCACCGTCAACTGTTGATGAGACGTCTTCATCTTGGCTTGTTGTTATTGTCTCTTTTTCCAAGGGTGTTGTTTTTATGGAATTTTCGGTGACAATCTCTACCTGTGAAGGAGGCAAAACATTAGGTTCGGAAAAGATTTCGGGTTCCTCAATATTAGTTTGTTCGGTAGACTTCACTTCTACAGATACAACGGAAGTTGGTTCTACATTGAAATTGGTTTTACAAACAATATTTGTAAGATATCCTATATCACTGGTAACTACTATGTTAGATTCTACTGAAGTAGTAGTCTCCGTATTTTCCAATGGTATAAAATATGTTGTCAAATAAGTCAACGTTTTATATGCCGTGGTCATTGTTGATTTTGTTTCTATACCATCAGTGCAATAAACATCTTCATGTGTGTCATGCTTTGTTTCAGTTGTTGTTTCAATATCTTCAAAAGATTCATCACTATGCCCACTTTCTGTAGTTGTTTGAATTTCTGGAATTTCTGTTATGCTTTCTTCTTCTTCTTCTTGTTCTTCGCTATCTTCAATCTCTTCAATTTTCTCTGTTACCTCAGCCGCCGTGTTTTCAGTTTCTTCTGCGGAATTAGTAAAAACTTCTTTCATTCCTTCTGTAACGGCAGATTCTTTCAGTTCATCTACAGTCATTGTAGATGGTTGAATTGTTAAAAGTGGTTCCGTTGCCTGGGTGTTATACTCCACAATAGGAACTTCTTCTAAATCTTCCATAGCCCGTGTGCTTTCTGTAGTTGTAAATGATGCTTCCGATGGTTGAATGACATCTAAATTTAAATCAAAGCCGTTATTATATTGCACACTTACCATCGCAGGATTTTTATCTTCTTCGTTGTAAGAAACTTTTTTCAAAGAATCGTTATCATCATAAACAGACTGCTCGGTTACATTTTCGTCACTTCCAATAGTTGTTGTTTTTGTAGCATCAATAACCTCATGTGCCTTATAAGTAGCTGTGGCAACCGGTATATCAGCTGACAAAAACGTTATTTTAGTTGCCAACTTATCGATAGGTTTAGCTGACGGAAAGACATTAACTTCATCTGGATTAGGAATTCGAGTAGTTTCAGTATTAGGCGTAAATATTATAACTGTATCACCCACAACAGTTGTAAAATCGGCAAAACCAGCATAAGTGAACGTCTTTTTTGGTCGTGGTTCGCTATTTTGACCGAACAACTTTTTAGGTGTTTTGGTTTGTTGGGACGTTTGTTGCGGAGATCGCCGAGATTCGACATTATCAATATAATAAAATATTGGTGAAAACTCGTTCTTAACTGTAAACGTTGGTAAGTCATAATCTGGCTTTACTTTAACAACTTCGATCGGTTCTTTTACAGTTTCTACCTTTTCCTTAGAATCAACATTAACTGATTCCAAAACAGGTTCGTATGCTTTGTTTTGACGATGCAACGTATTTATATTATTTAATATAGAGGGTTCTACAATAAATTCTAACTTTTTCTCGCTTTCAATGGCTGGACCATCCAAATAATTGTACACTTCATACCTAGGAATTTCATTATATGCTTGAACCCTCCGTGCTGTGGGTTCCTCAAGTATTTGATTATCGAACTGAGATTCGGGAGCACTTGGATTATTCCAAAATATTAAAGGTTCTTTGGAAGGCTTATTAGCGTAAACAATATCCATCTTACTACTTGGAGCTAAGTAATCTGTATTTTTAAGTATAAATTTTTCAGGATCTATGATACCTAAATCTTGTTTTACGTTCCATTTTCCATCGAAAGCAGAATGTACACGGGTTGGTTGTACAATAAAAGGATCATCTACATTTGATGGCTTATTATAAAGTACAAGAGATGATTTTGTTAGTAATTGTGCGTATATACGACCGTTGTCTAAGGTTGTCCCTAGAATTTGAGTTGCGTATTCGGTCGTGACACCATCTTGAATGAATGTTCTTGCCGTAGACGTCAAAAGGCCAATAAGAGGTTTGACACTGTGGTATCTTCCGATCTTCGTACTATAATCACGCTTCTGGTCATTAACAAGCAGCACTGTCAGGTCTGTCGTCGTTCGTCAACACAAAAGTCGAGTCGTGGATGGGATACACATTCGTTTAGGGTGCGTTTTATTTTACAAGGTCCATTTGAGTTCATACGTTGACCACGACCGGGATTAGATTTGAAAGAGAAAGAAAAAACATACAATTAACATTTTAAATATAAATAGTAAATACCATAAGTAAAAACTAATAGAATATAAGATGCAAATAATTGTAACGTTAGCACTATTTTTTACAGTAATAAGAAATATACGTTTGTAATGATTACTGTGCCAAGACTGCCAATTATTTTGCAAGCAAGAAAAATGTATATATGTAAAGTATTAATCATAACGAAAATTTCATTTGTATTAAGCTTAAAACATATTGGACATCGTTGTCAAATCAATATCTTACCGACGTAAGTTAAGGTCTTAATAAAATTTACACTTTTTTATTAAATAGCTTTAACAGAAATTCAAGTTGCATTAAAAATAGATTGATTTTGTCTATTAATTATTCGTGATTCGAATTCATTTGCAACAAACTTAATTTTTTTTGCATTAAGTTTGAACCATAAGCTGCTATGACACATTTAAAAAAAATCTCAATACCTACCTGGATAAACGCAACGCTATCGATTTTAATTGAAATTAATTATGTATGGCAAACTATTTGATGTAACGAGATGTCTTTAGTATGAGTGTGAGAAAAAAAACAAAAGACAGATAAATCGACTTAATATCGATAGGATTTGGCAACGAATAACTAAGTGTTTAGATAACGATTCATACGGATTGATTTCCGACCAATATGTTTTAGCTTGCAAATGTTTATATAAAAAAAATTTATAAAAAGATAAATTTAAAGAAGTTGAAGATAGGTAGTATACGCAAAGAGGCGTCATATATAGATGCTTAACATAAAAATAAATACATCAAAACTATGCGCATCAATCATACGGTTTAACACAAGCACAGAAGGATTTGTACAAAATTATTGGGCTCCCTTTCAAAGAACAGATTAATTAATTACTCACCCCTGTTTTCTGGAACTCCTTCTCTTTTTAATCTCGAACCTTCAGTGTATTCGTTATCGATTATTTCTGAAATAAAAAAATATATACTATGAGTTTTTCAAATATGTGACAATCGAATTGCAGTTAATTAATTAACTTCTGTACACTAATGAGAGATTGCTAGTGACTTACTTATTGACACTTATTACGTCGGACAACGTATTAATCAATACCCTGAATGAGTCATAAGATACATATAAGATGAACAATAATTTTGGACATATGAAATCAGAGCTTGTTATTAATCCTCGCTGCCGAATTTTAAATTGGTTTCAGCTTTGACCGTAGCTCCTCACGGTCTGTAGCAGGTTCTTCTAGTTTGTTAATTTCCTCTAAAACTAGGCTATCACTACCGTGAAAAGAATTTTATCACAACTACAAAATATTATACAGTAGAAAATATTTTCATCTAAACGTCTGTTTCACTAAATTGCCTCGCTAAATTCTTAATTAAATTCAGTAAGTTAGGTACACGTGAAGCGTTCTCTTTGTGCTTATTATGGACCTCTATTTTACCTGTATGTTAACATAACGTGAAGTTACAGGTTTCAAAATATTCGACATATTGTACATTATGAATGATATATTTATTAAATCGAACTAATTCAGACGTTACTGTTATAAAGGTAAACTGAAAATTATAATAACATCGAAACTGTATCACAAATCGAAGCGGTGTTGTAATTGTTACGATACCCCAGATGTCTCGAAAGTAGCTGACACAAGGTCATCGCGATTTACTTACAAAACCTATAAATTGAATGACAAACAAGATCCAAGCGAGCTGGTGAAGTCAGTAACAAACATAACATACACAATGAAACTTAATATAATATTAGGTACAAAGGTTTATCTACTGACCACTATTAAATGAGTAAAAATTATTTTTTTTGTTGTTAATAATTGAACTGACGAAGGATGGTTGATGACAGCTTTACGTCAACCATCCTTGAGCACAAACGTCCAGCTCCAGAAAAATTATCAATGAGTGAGTAGCCGGAGCCCAATTTTTAAAAGGTTGTCAACGCATCTGTAACCCTCGGGTGTAGCAGATGTCCATGGGCGGCGGTATTCACTTACCATCAGGTGAACCGTCTGCTCGTTTGGCAACTTTTCACATAAAAAAAAGTCACAGAAATACTTGCCCTGTGTGGGAATCAAACCCACGAGACCAACAGCGCCGAATCCAATGAATTAACAAACGCGCCATCGTTTCACAGAAACAACAATATATTGTTATATTCTTCTACTAAATCTTCTCGGTGTATCCGATCCCAAAGATTGTCGGTACAAGGATCGTGGTTAATGTGGTCGCAAGGAATATACGATTTACTTACCAACCCGTTATAAATTAAGATTTATTGAGAACCCACATCGTATGCACGGACTAAAAAAATAAATAGTCATTTTTCTACTCCATGTACCGTATGTTAAATAAATCAAAGTGTATAACACACAGACTTTGTAAGTAAAGAAAAATGCTTTTATGCATGAAAGACACAGGAATTATTCTTTTACTGCGCTAAAATTGTTTCGACCGTAATATACAACACAATTGAAATTAAATCAAATATCAAATTGATCTCATTTAATGAAATATGGTTATTTCTGCAAAAAGTCATTATAGTATACTCGATTATTTATCGGTTACGAATTTTTCTTCTTCAGGTTACGACTATAGGCTTCTCTTTCACTGTTATTATGTTTGCACAATATTTTTTTCCCTAATGCTTGATAATTCTAACTCACTATTCACAATAGAAGAGTTTCGCAAAAAATGTTGGATAACCTAAAGTACGACGCCATGATAATGTAACAAAGGTTTTTGGGAACGTTCTTATTATGACGAAATTAACACTATCGTTTTAAGTCACAAAGAATACAGAATAATCTTGATCGTAAGTCTTTGCTCTTGTATCGAACTTACAACATGGATGATTCAAAATGATTTTCTTATTACTAGATACTTGCAATGATTAGTTTTATCGCTATTTACTCGTAAGACCAGAGTAAAATTTCCGTCTCAACAGAGTAGTGACATATTTAAACGTGTGATAAACAAACAAAGATACTTTAGTCATTTTACTAACTAACGATTAAAAGTATAATACTGAAGGCTTATACATCATCAAAGTTCGTAGTGTTTTCTAATATTGCTTTAGTTAGTAACTAACATGTTTCATTTTTAATGCGACCTGTTATATTGACAGCAGTAGAAACTGTGCCATTATGCTTGTGCCCGGATGCATTCAAGTCGCGTGCACATTGACCCACTGATGATGCGACGGTCTTACAAGGAGTTCCTGTTACCAAGGAGGTTGATAGCCCCCTTTTTATATGCATTCTTACGCCTCTTCTTGATTTGCATGTAATTAATCAAATCGATAAGGAACTCATCAAATTAATTGATAAATGCTTCACTAATTAGGGTTAAATTTCTTTAATTTTATGTTTATTGCTACTACTAACTAAATATTTTAAATGTTTATTTAAACTAAATATTTACTTATAAAATTCAGGTCCAAGCTCTTTTAAATTAAAAAAAATAATAATAGAGGTCTACCGTTATGCGTGAATCGCTTAGAAGCTCCTGGACAGATTTCAATTAATTCTAAGTTTTATTTCGGC